AAGACGCCCAAGATGGCCTCCAAGACGGCCCTGGAGCATTCCAAGAGGGCTCCAAGTCGGCCCATAGAGGCCCCCCAAACGGCTTCCGACGGCGTCAGACGGACCAGGAGCCCACCAAGATGGCCGAACATGGCCCTAAGATGGCCCAAGACGGCCCAAGAGGCCTCCAAGAGGGCCTCCAGGAAGGCCCGAAAATGCCAAAATGATTATTTGCCATGGGTTTTTGAAGGATTGTGGCATTTGCTTTTTTTTCGGCCTTCCGACGGCCCGAGACGGCCCAAGTGCCCACAAAGATCGCCCAAGAGGCCCAATACACGGCCCCAAGAGGCCCCCAAGACAGCCCAAGAGGTCTCCAAGACGCTCAAGATAGCCTCCAAGACGGCCCAAGAGCCCTCCAAGACGTCCTCCAAGAAGGCCCGAAAGGGTCAGAATGGCCTCCAGACGGCCAAGATGACCTTCAAGATGCCCACGTGTTCCCCGAAGGCTTTCCAAACCGATTCGGGGAACACATGGTCCGATAGCTTGGCAGGCCACAACCTTCGGCCACATAGGCGTTTCCAAAAAGGCAGGGGGCGGCGGTGATTCGCCGTAGGCGTCTTCGATACGTTGCCGCATCGGCATCTACATTACGTGAATTGATTTAGATCCTTGGGCAACGATGAGACAATATTGTTCGCGCCCTCCCAGCCGATTTCCGAGCCATGTACATCCACAGTGAGCGCCACAAGCTTCTGTGGTAAGCTCCCCAACCGTGCCCTTACCCCCTCAACATTCAATGAAACCCGAGGAACATGAGCTCCAATTTGAACACCGATTCTTGCCACCGTTCCCCCAAGGCTCGCAGGTCTGCAATGCCAATCTGACCAATCTGGCCGCACATCCAGGGGCCGTTTGAGAAACAGAGTTCTAATATGTTCAGCTTGTCTCTAAGCCGAAGTCCCTGTACCAACTCAACCAACGCGCGATCACTCACAGAGTTATCCCAGAAAGATAGTTTGAGGGATCTCAGCTCACCCAAAGAAACCAACTTCCGAACCGCGGCGCGAACCCCAACGTTCGTGATATCGCACTCTGCACCGATCTGCAAACCTAAGCTCTGCAAACCAGAGGGGAGTGCATCCACCAAAACCTGAAAGCCAATATCGCTGAGCTCGTCCTGCTGGATTGCAGCTCCCAAACACAACTGCAGGTCAGATCCTGGGGCATCACCCGCGCGAGCGTACGCGCAGCTTTGTCGTTCATGCACGCGCTACCCAAACTGCAATCGCAAAACACCGAGTCCTGGCGGCAAATGTTCAAAAATGGTCTCCGCACCCGCTCGACCGATCTGACAATTCAGCAGATTTAAGATCAAGACTTCCAAAGTTCTCGGGAGATGTTTAGCAACACTTGCAATGCCATGCTGCCCAAACACACACAAACCTGCAAACCGAGCCCTAACATTAACAAGCCAACATCAAGCCGAGTTGCAAGAATCTCGGCCTCACGCGGTCCGAAACCACTTTGTCGAAACTCCAAGCAACGCGTGTCCAACTTCCTGGGGACCTTTGGAAACAATGACGTACGTGCGCCCCCGCGCTGTCGACGCCAGAAGCACCGAGAAACACATGTTGCAAACGTGAAGGGAACCGTGCCGCTACTGCACGCGCAGCTAACGTACGCATGATGTTGTTGGGCAACGACATGCTTTTGGTGAATGCTGCCGCTCAAATGCCCTCGTCCTGCAGATGTAAGCACGCACGTTTTGATATGCATTGCATTCTGAACAACCGCATCTGCAAATAGCGTGCCAAGTGCTCCAATATCACGTGTGTCGGTTAGACCAAGAAAAGCGGCATAACGACATAAACTTCTGACTCTCCGCGCGGAGTTCTTGGATCGGCGCTGGACCCCCCTCCCTAGCGCGCAGACCGCGCCAGGTTTGGCGCCGGAGGCGCCACTTGGGGGGCCCATCGATGATCCAAGAAATCCGCGCGGAGCTCCAGAAAGGCTATGTGTATGCAAATGTGTCTTATTCAATCTGTAAGGGGGAGGCAACGCAACATTGCAAGGCCTCTTCCAAGCGTGCACCATTCTTGAATGCTGGCTGGAACTTCCGTGTGGAACACCCTGAACCAAACCTGAGACAAAGCGGCTACGGAACTGTGTCTGCACGTTTTGAGCACTACTGAGCCTGAGGGGGGGCATCCACAGGACTCTGCGGGAGCTCTGGAGACCTCCTCGTCTCTTCTCCCGAGACCTCGGCCGACTCGAACAGACCGAGCCAGAGGCGATCCGCTTCGGGACCCCCAGGAGTCTCGAGATGGAAAACTGGCCGTGGAAAAGAAGTCCATAGCGCTGGGGGCTGGAGTAACGGAAGCAGAACAACACCACTGTTATGCATGCTGATGTGGTTTTGCTTATTTAACACCCTGGGGCACCGTCGCGACCACGGTCGTATTCGCCTTGACTTGCAAACACAACTTCCCTGGGATGGCATGAAACAATCGAACCGAATTAGTAGCCGTAAACAAGTGGCTTCTGCAACCGCACCGCCCAAACCGCAGCCCAAACCGAACTATACGAACCGAACTGGCTAGCGAAGTTCGGCCCGAACGGTCAAACCGAACCGAGAGGAACCGACTGGGCATCTTCTGGGCCGGCGGCAGCAGCACTCTAACCTCAAACTCTCTGGCTGTTGCGAGAGGCCCCAGGGATTGAGGAGGACTTGAAGGATAGTCGTAGGGGGAACTGGCTCGGGGGGAAAGCATCGAACTGGAACCTGCGATACATCGCCGATAGATCGGCGATAGGCCCCCAGCAGCGAATCCGCACGATCCAGGGCGGGCAGGCTATCGGGCCACTGTCGGCGATCAGTGGGAAGTTGGGGGTCGATGCATCCCGTCCTGAGCCGATCCCCCTCTAGCGGTGCCCCCGAGGAGTGTCGAGGAGAGGGTAGCTGGAGGGGCCGAGGAGGTCTGGGGAGCTGGCGGCTCGAGGACCTCGGAGGTCCGAGTCGCACGAGCCAGCGGATCTCGGGCCCTCCTCCTCCCTCGAGAGAGGGAGGGATGAAGGGCAGAACCTTCTCAAGGAAGGAGGGAAGGATGGAAGGCAGCTCAGAATGAAGGATGGAGAAGGGAGGACGAGGGGAGCTCACGCCAAAATGCGGGCACACCGGGAGGTGTCGCTCAAGGTGATCGCGGCGCGCGGTGGGGAAGAGGGCATGAAAAAGCCCAACGAGAAGGGGACTTTGGGACGGGAGGGCGCACTGCAGCATCTTTGACACATCTTGGGTTTACGCTGGTCCTCCTCCTCCTCCTCCTCCTCCTCCTCCTCCTCCTCCTCCTCCTCCACGTTGCCCTCTTTGTCCTCGTCCTCCTCCCTTCTCCCTCGTCCATCCTCCTCCTCCTTCTCCTCCTCCTCCTCCCGTCTGTGTCCTCATCCCCCTTTTCCTCCACGTTGCCATGCTGCCAGCACAGGAGGGGGAACCTCGCACTGCGAGGGCACGCTGGCAGCTTAGCAAATGATGCGCGGTGGCGGGACTCCCGCAGCTCTCGCGCTCACTTCCTGGGAGCGGGCGCCGAGAGACCAGGGCCAACTTGGCAGCCCCTGGGGCGAACGTCCTGTCTCAAACGCCTGTCGCGAGCCCTGGTGCCTGCGCTGGTGGCAGGCCCACAGCCGCTCTCAAAGCAGAAGGACCTTCAACTGCTCCATCCGCCATACCTCGAGCAAAATGCGAGGCCCCTGTACACGTGCATGTGGGCAAGTTGGGCGTGGTGAAATCCCGACGGCTCGTACTGAGTGCCAGGTTTACCGAGCCAGGGGGCCTTCTGCCCCAAAGGCTGGCATCTGAAACACAGATTGCACCGAGGCCCCTCTTTACAATCCTCCAAGACATGTTTGGCGTCTCTGCACTTTCGGGGGCCGATGCTGTTTGGGTCGCGGAGGGGGGGCATTTCGAAATCTCCCCAGAACTTGCCCTGATCCTCCTCCGCCGCCTCCGCCTCCTCCTCCCTCTCTTCCACAAGGGTAATGGTTTTTTGGGGGGACCAGCTCAGGTGGGGAAGCATCGACGCGAAATCGGCGACACATCGCCGATAGCACGGCGATAGGCCTGCGATCGAATTCGCACGCTTCTGGGCGGGGTGGACTAGAGGGCCCTCATCGGCGATCGATGGCCCCCATGAACCACCCATCCCCCCCAACGTCAACCCTGATCCTGCTCTGGGGAGGGGGGAGGAGGTGGTTTAGAGGTTTCTTGGGGCGGAGGGCCAACCCCACGGGGCTCGTGGGTGGCCCGGCCCGATCGAGCGAGCAGGAGTGCAAAGGGAGGAGAAACGTCACCGCCCCTGGTGTTTGCAAACATGCCTTCAGGGGCTGGTCCGTGGAGGGTTCCTCCTTCTCGCCTGGCAAGGAGGCTGTCGAGCCATCATTGTCCTCCGCGTCCTCCTCATTCCTCTTCCCTCTTCCTCTTCCTTCTCCTCTTCCTGCTTGTCCTCCTCCTTTCCCCTCATTCCTCGTCCTCCTCCCGTCCTCCTCCTCCTCCTCCTCCTCCTCCTCCTCCTCCTGCTCCTCCTCCTCCTCTTCCTCCTTCCCCTCCTCCTCCTTCTCTCCTCCTCCTCCTCCTCCTCCTGCTCCTCCTCCTCCTCCTCCTCCTCCTCCTCCTCCTCCCCCTCCTCCCCCTCTTCCCCCTCCTGCTTATCCTCGTCCTCCCCCCTCCTCGTCCTTCCATCGTCCTCCGTGTCCTCCTTCCCCCTTCGTTGTCCTCCTCCTCTTCCTCCTGTTCCTCCCCTGTCTCCTCCTCCCCTTCCTTCTTTTCCGCCTCCTATTATTCCTCTTCCTCCTCCTCCTCCTCCTCCTCCTTGTCCTCCTCCTCCTCCGCCGCCTCCCTGTCATCCTCCTCCCTCCTTCCGACCCTCCTTGTGACCCTCATCCTCCTCCTTCTTCTCCTCCTCCTCCTCTTCTTTGTCCTCCACCTCCGCCTCATCCACATCCTCCTGGCGGCTGGGTGGCCAAGGCGCCTCTTCAAGGAGGCCAGGTGCCGCTGGTCCGCACCGCACGGGTCGTAGCCTCGCGGCGACGGGCGAAGCTCGGCATCGCCGCTGCCGCCGATGCCGTCGACGCCGCCCCCACCGTCGTCTATCATGGGGGGGGGCATGACGACATCAATCCCCAACATCCCCCCACCTCTCTTTCCGCAGAAATCACGACGGCGGAAGTTGTATATGTCTCGGTATCTGGGGACCCTCGCTAGGATGTGGGACCATCAAAAGCGATTCGGCAGAACTACCTCGCAGACAAGGTGCTCCAGACCGTGAAAGGGACCCCGCTGTTGGAAGCAACGGCGCTTTGTTCGAAACGTGTACGTTCCCAACCGCAGGATGGCCTGGAACAAGAAACTGGGGGGCAGCGGGGAAGAAGGGAGGGAGGAGGGAGGAAGAGATGGAGGAGACAGGCGGAGTCAATAAGACCAAGGAGGGTGGAAGGTCCAGGGAGGAGGACGGAGAAGGGATGCATGCATGGAAAAGAAGAGGAGGAAGGAAGAGAGTGAGGGAAGGAGGAAGGGAACTCAATGGCGGAGAAGTGGTGAAAACAGAAGGGAAAGGCAGGAATGAGGAGGCACGAAGAAAACGGGGGAAACAAAAACGGGACTGGAGCAAGAGGGCGAAGACGCGGAGGGATGGGCAAGGGAAGAAACGAAAGGGAGGAAAAAAGGCAAGACGACAAATAATGGAGGCGGGAAGAAATTGCGGAGAAGGAGGGTGTGATGACGGAAGAAGTGGGAATAATGGGTGGGAGATGGAGGAGGGGGACGCAACATGTAAAAAGGACATAAGGGACAGGGGGAAGGGGCAAGTTAGGTGTGCGCCATGTTTGACATCCTACCCGTCCCACCCATGCCGATGGGTAATCCAACGGCAACAACGTGTGATGCGCAATCACGAAACTATAGTTGCGTACCCTCGAATAGCCCCAATAACGGTGCGATGGCGGCAGCGCGAGCCGGGGATGACGTGGATTCCTCCTCCACAGGTGGCGGAGCCGGGCGCCCTCTACGCAGTGCCCCAGTCGCCCCCGGAAACGGGATGCCCCAAGACGGCGGGTGGTGTTCAAAATCGGCCGAGCGCCTGACCCCTGGTGGCAACAGGCGCTGGGCAGAAAGCAAGATGCAGTTTCGTATTGGCACGCTGGGGCGCATGCCCGAAGAATCCTCATAGCGGCGCGATGGCGGCAGCGAGGGGCTGGGAATGACGTTGATGCCTCCTCTACGGGTGGCAAATGCGGGGGCCCTGCGCGCAGGGCCCCAGCCACTCCCGGGAACTTGCTGCCCCCCCCCCTTCAGCGATGGGAGCGGGTCACCAAGGAGGGGGGCGGACACCCAAAACGTGGGGGGCAGATCTCAAGGCCCACCGCCGGAGGCTTCTGGCGTCGAGGCGCACTCCCAAGCCTCGTTCGTTTCGCCCTGCCCGCCGCCCCGCCCTGCCGCACCGCGCCACTGCGCGAGTAGTCAAAGGCGCGTTTTCGAAGCCCTGTCCCCGTCCATGAGGCCCTCGGCGCTCACCTGCCGAATCTGGACTGTTTATGGCCAATTGTCTGCGCGCGCCGCGCCCCAGGCCGCGCCGCGGCCCGCGCGCGGGCGCGGCGCATGACCGGCTCGTGCCTAAGCGGGGCCCCTGCACCGATGCTGCTGGCGCCCCTCTCGGCTGCCTTGTCGCCGGGCTAGCGTGCTGATGTCCAGAACGGCCATCTGGGGCCCGTCGCTGCTGGTGCCCTCCTCAACTGGCTGCCTATCAACGGACAGTCTCTTCGGACTCCTCGGAGCTGGGCCCCCGACCGCGCTCTTGGTGGATGCCGTCGGCATCTCAGCCGAGATGAGGCGCCGGCATCTCGTGGTGCCATCTCTTGCAGACCATGTCATGTTCCCTCGGGTGCGTCACGTCGTCGCAATAGGTCGCGCTCAGCGGCGACCTGCCAGGCGCCCAGTCAGCGCCCGATGTTCTGGAGCCTGGCCACCTTGCGCTTCTTCCTGTATACGATGCAGTAGGCGCCGAGCTCCTCGGCGCCCGTACATTGGGGGGGGGAGCTGCCGCTCTCTGTCTGCAATGTGAACGTTCGCCCAGCTGCCGTCGTCAGCGCTGCCACGGCCGCCTTCTGCCCGCGCGGGTTCCGCGGGGGCGTTGCCGCCCCCGTCGGCGGCGCGGCGTCTTCCACTTCTCCGTCTTGGACGGCGGCGTCCGAGGCTGCCGCCCACTGCCGCTTCTCTTCGTTAGTGGGCGCCGCGGCCACCCCGCCAGCGCGGGCCTCGAGGGCCGCGCGGGCCTCGGCTGCCACGTCGTCGCATGCTGCAACGACAAGTTCTTCCCCAACACAAGCTAGTCCGCCCGGACTGCGATGGCCGTTGCCTCGCCCAGCCCCGCGCAACCCTTCCCAGAACGCAGCGCCTTCGCGGGCCGCCGCTGGAGGTTAGAAGCGACCGAGAGGCGCGCCCTCGCGTAGGTGCCCGCATCTTCCAGCGACCACTCGCCAAGGTTGTCGCGCTCGTTCTTCGGGATCCCCATCGCCGCCATGGCCGAAGGCTTGAAGGGATCGACGCCAGCTCGGGGCGCTCTGTCCAGAAGATCGCGAGCTCCTCGGGGATCAGAGGCTCCACTTCTCGCCCGCGCAGGCCGCTGGCTTCAATATCCCCCAGAGAACTTCCTGGCACTTCCTGGCACGCTGCTGCCGCCGCCGCGTACCCGGCAGGCTTGCGGACCACCTCCTGCCCCGCGTCGTCGCTACGGGGTTGAAACTCGTTCATCTCGCAGTCAGCGCTTTAAGCCCCAAAGGTCGAAGCCCGTCTGTATCCATGCTGGCTGGGCCCATCATGCGGCATTCACGGGGGGCCGCAAGGGCCAGTTCTGGCATCTGGCGCTCCGCCCAGCTAAATCTTCGCGCGCCCCAGCGTGGCAAAACCACGCCACCCCGCGCACGTACCTCGCTATGTCCTCGTCCATGACCTACCCAAGGCCACAGCGAACGCGCTGGGGAACCGCGCTGCCATCGTCGTCGTGCCTTTGCCCGCGCCGCGGAGCATCTCCAGGTTCGCGACGACTTGCTGGGCATTGCTGGGCCTCGGGCCGAGCGAAGAATCTGTCGTTCTGATCCACGCCCGCCACGCGCTCCGTCAACAACATGGCGCGCAAGGCCCGGTTGGACGCCGTCGGCCTGCACGACTCGGCGGCCCTGCACGTAGTCGATGGAGTGCACGGTCGTCCTGAGCCACCCAACATACATGGTGGCCGCGCAGGAGCCACCGGCGCATCGTCTCCATGGCCCGCACGTGCGGCCACACCGTGTTGATGCGCGCGCCGTCCTTTGCCCCCTCCGGGTCCAGTCTCCGGCGAGGTTGCCCCCATCTCCTCGAGCAGCGTGCTCAGACGAAGGTTCCACCGATCCCAATCCTGCGTCTCCAACCCGCGACGGCTCTCCTCCGCTGCCGCGCGGCACCTCCACACGAAGCGGGCCCCCGCCATCGCACGTGCCCCTGGCGGCGGCTGGGTTTCGGGCGCGCCCATGTTTCCTCCACGGTGAGGTCCGCGGCCGCCGCCACCTGCTCGAGATCCCCCTCAATTTCAGTCTCGTCCGCCTGGAAGCCTGGAACGCCATGTGCGGGCCGAGGGAATCGCACTCATGTAACACCTAAACACATGGGCCAGCATCTCCGCCCAAACGTTGTTCAAACTCAGCCGAACGCCTGAGCCCAATGGCCACAGGCGTCGGGCAGAGAGAAAGAATACACGTTCGTGTTGGCACGCGGGGGCATACTGGAGGAGCGGGTGGTGGATGAGCATGGGGAGGAGGCGGAAAGAGGAGGAGGAGGAGCAGCAGCAATCAGAGAAGGAGCAAGGGGAACGGGGGAGCAAGGAGAACGGAAGAAGGGAAACAAGGGGGCAACGACAACGCTGAAGGACTCGGGCCCCGAAATGTGGCACACGCTGGGGCGAGAGCGCCGTTCTGAATGACGAAAGCAACACGCCATTCCTGAAATGAGGCCAAAGCTGCATCGGGAACACGATTTTAAGCAGAGGCGAAAACGCTCCGGCTGTAATAACAAGCAAACACGCCATATCATGCAGTCAAGTCGTGTGCATCACCAAAAACAGGGGGAGTCGCGGCACCCACCTTGCTTAGATCTAGGGAGAAAGGAAAATAGTATTCATACGGTTTGGTCCTAGAGAGGGGGGGAGGGGCGACGTGAAAACGGGCCGCGGCCCACTCCTCGCAGCACCAGCCCCCGAATCCCCCCCCCCGGTACCCGTTTGGACACTCTCAGGCCAAACCCCCTTGCATGCCAACCCTGGAGGCGTTTCCCCCACCCCCCAACCCCTGCCAACATCCCTCGGCACACAACAACAGAAAAAATCCTTCCCTCCGCTACCCACACGGACACGCCGCGGCCAGCCCCCCCGGCATCCCTAGGAGTGACGAGTGGGTACATCAGTGCAAGGAAGGCGAGGAAAGATGGAGGACCTTGAAAAGGTCGGTTAGGGAGCGTCACCAGAACAGTACTCAGCAAGGCGAAACCGCCCGAGCCTGTCGGCGGGTGTGAAAGGCGCTTCCGTTCAAGTCGTCGTCCTCGTCGCCGTTGTCGCAGTCATCGCTCACCCACAATTCCTCTCCGTGGGCCCTCCTGTTCAAACGTCCGAGCCAAAGAGAAATCGAGCAATGCCGTAATCCAGTCGCAGTGAAGCCCCGTTCCCTTGAACCCTTCCCGACCAAGCGGGGGAAGGGGAGAGGGGGGGGGGGCTGGGAGGGGCCCAACAGGTTGTGACCCCCCCCCCGTTGGGGAGCATCCTTCCCTGAGAGAAGTTTTCCTCTTCGAGTCCTTGCCTCCCACCTTCAGGGTCGGCGGCACCAGCCGTAATGAAGGCTTTCACAATATACATGGCCACGAGCCCCGAGCCCTCCCTGCCTTATCTGGGGCATCAAATGCAGCGGCAGCGGGAAACACCTGCACCTGTAACCCTTAGCGCTGGAGTCAGAGGGAGCCAGTCAGCCAGTCCCCAAAGCACTGGCAGGCAGGCATACCCGAACTGATAGAAGATCACAGGTGAACTAAAAGATAGACGCCCAGGAGGTGGAGGATGATAATGAGCAGGAGGGGAGAGAGAGAGAGGGAGAGAGAGAGAGAGTGAGGATATACACACATGTATATCTATACATATATATATATAGATGCTACTATGCGGAGAACGGAGGAGACCTCTCGGAGGCAAAGCCAGGGAACACTGAAGTCAAATCAAACGGGTGCGTGGCACTAATTCGTCGAATATCACTGAGAGTCGTAGTCGCGGATGTCGTGGTCGTGGGAACAGTCGTGACCGACAGTACCGGAACTGGTGCTGTGACTGTCCGTGGCCCTGGCCCTGCCTCCAACAGGGCGTCCGAGGGTGAAGGCTGGGGCCCGGGCTCCACCCGGCCAGCACGCGCGCGCCGCCAGCCTGCGCAGCCGAGAACGGCAATCCCCCCCATCGCCGCTCCGCCGGCGGCGCCGCCTGGCATGTCGTACATGACGATGTAGAGGGGCGGGCTGCCGGCGACCCTGTTTGCGTCCAGCTTGAAGCCCCGCCTGTAGTTATGCGTCCGTCACAAGGGGGGGCTCCGCCTCTTCTTCCTCCTCCTCCTCCTCCTCCTCCTTAAGCTCCACCTTCTGTCTGTTCCTCGAGATCACCCTTCTCCCTCTCATCTTTCCTTGGGACGCGGCTGGCCGTCTGGCGCATGCAAGCATTGAAACAACATTCCGCTGAACTCTGCCGTACGTTGCCGTGGAACTCCGATGGATCAGCCGGGATTTCGAACCAAGTGCGTCGTCCAAGGCCATGGCTTCCGCTGTGACACGTGGAACAGGCGGATGGATGTACGTGCCACCCCAAACAGAGCGAGAGGGCAAATGTGGCGACGCCCGTCGCGCCAGTTCCTGATCCCTCCTGTTGATCAAGCGCATGCCAACATGGACTACCGATCCGTGGACCTGGCGCGTGGGCGCCAGATCCACGGCTCGGGACAAATACCCACAAAAATGAAGCCAATGACGCACGGTTGGGCAAGCGCGCCGATCCTGCAAGGAAGCGGGACACGTCGCTATAATCGCTGGCGAGCGAGGGGCGGTCGTGAGAAGGAGCAGGCCTTCTCAGAAGGCGGCGGGACTTCTTAGCAGCCCTCGCGCCTTCTGAGAAGTGTTCTGTGTCTTCGGGGAAGGCTCAGAAAACTCCCCAGAAAGCCGAGGTGCCTCCGAGCCTTCTCAGGAGGCCCGCCCCGTCTCGCTTCCCCCCTGGGCGCGCCGCCGAGCGGCTCTCCACACGCCCGAACCCAAGTCTGCGCTTCCTCGGCTCCCGCTGGCCCTCGCCCCCGCCTGCTGCCCCGCTCTCTTCCCCCGAGGATGGAGGCGAGGAGGGGGCGGCAGAAGGAGCAGGCGGCGGCCGCGGCGGGAGGGCACCGAGGACGAGGACGCCGACGACGACAACGACGCCAACGCTGACGACGACAACGACGACAACGCCGACGACGCCGACGACGGCAGCGACGACGGCGACGGCAACGGCGACGATGGCGGCGGCGACGAGGATCAGGACGGTGACGGCGACCATGCCGGCAACGACGAAGTCTGCGACGACGACGGCGAGGACCAGGACGGCGACGGACGGCGACGACGACGAGGCCACCACAGGCCACGGAACTCCCAATGAATGGCGTCCAGGTACGGCGACACGCCCCAGATGCTGAAGGTGTACACCTGCGCGGGGGAGAAGAGAATCCGACGGGTCTTCGACGAGAAGCCGTAACGCCGCGGCTTACACGGGACGCCATTGTGGCACACCGCGTGGAGAAAAAAAGTTGATGCGCGACCGTACGCGGGAAGCTTGCGCGTGATTGTTCCGCGCAGTCGACTCTGCTTTCTTCCGTCGATTATCTGGCTGTTTGATAACCACTGGAGGTTTCTCGCCGTTTATTTCCCCCTTTTCTTTCGTCGAACACCTGGCCGTTTGATAGGTTCTGGGAGCTTTCCGCTGATGATTTGCGTCTGGAGGCGCTGTCTGGGCCCAAGAGCATCACACAAGACTCATTTGATGGAGTTTCTGTGGAACTCACGTCATCCTCACCCCCGGCGCGAAGAGCACGAGCCCAGAGCGGCCTCCGGCACCGTTTCTGGACGGATCCGCTGGATCCGCTGGATCCGGTGACGAATCCCAAACCGGCGCCCTCGCCTGAGACATCCTCACAAAACGGGCCCCGGGGGGGATGCCCAGAGGAGCCCAGAGCGGCCTCCGGCACCGTTTCCGGACGGATCCGCTGGATCCGCTGGATCCGCTGGATCCGGTGACGAATCCCAAACCGGCGCCCTCGCCTGAGACATCCTCACAAAACGGGCCCCGGGGGGGATGCCCAGAGGAGCCCAGAGCGGCCTCCGGCACCGTTTCCGGACGGATCCGCTGGATCCGCTGGATCCGGTGACGAATCCCAAACCGGCGCCCTCGCCTGAGACATCCTCACAAAACGGGCCCCGGGGGGGATGCCCAGAGGAGCCCAGAGCGGCCTCCGGCACCGTTTCCGGACGGATCCGCTGGATCCGCTGGATCCGGTGACGAATCCCAAACCGGCGCCCTCGCCTGAGACATCCTCACAAAACGGGCCCCGGGGGGGATGCCCAGAGGAGCCCAGAGCGGCCTCCGGCACCGTTTCCGGACGGATCCGCTGGATCCGCTGGATCCGGTGACGAATCCCAAACCGGCGCCCTCGCCTGAGACATCCTCACAAAACGGGCCCCGGGGGGGATGCCCAGAGGAGCCCAGAGCGGCCTCCGGCACCGTTTCCGGACGGATCCGCTGGATCCGCTGGATCCGGTGACGAATCCCAAACCGGCGCCCTCGCCTGAGACATCCTCACAAAACGGGCCCCGGGGGGGATGCCCAGAGGAGCCTAGAGCGGCCTCCGGCACCATTTCCGGACGGATCCGCTGGATCCGCTGGATCCGGTGACGAAGCCCAGAGGAGCCCAGAGCGGCCTCCGGCACCGTTTCCGGACGGATCCGCTGGATCCGTGGATCGCTGGATGACGAATCCCAAACCGGCGCCCTCGCCTGAGACATCCTCACAAAACGGGCCCCGGGGGGGATGCCCAGAGGAGCCCAGAGCGGCCTCCGGCACCGTTTCCGGACGGATCCGCTGGATCCGCTGGATCCGGTGACGAATCCCAAACCGGCGCCCTCGCCTGAGACATCCTCACAAAACGGGCCCCGGGCACCGTTTCCGGACGGATCCGCTGGATCCGCTGGATCCGGTGACGAATCCCAAACCGGCGCCCTCGCCTGAGACATCCTCACAAAACGGGCCCCGGGGGGGATGCCCAGAGGAGCCCAGAGCGGCCTCCGGCACCGTTTCCGGACGGATCCGCTGGATCCGCTGGATCCGGTGACGAATCCCAAACCGGCGCCCTCGCCTGAGACATCCTCACAAAACGGGCCCCAGGGGGGGATGCCCAGAGGAGCCCAGAGCGGCCTCCGGCACCGTTTCCGGACGGATCCGCTGGATCCGCTGGATCCGGTGACGAATCCCAAACCGGCGCCCTCGCCTGAGACATCCTCACAAAACGGGCCCCGGGGGGGATGCCCAGAGGAGCCCAGAGCGGCCTCCGGCACCGTTTCCGGACGGACGACCTGACTGCATAACACGCCTGGATATGCCGACGGGGGCGAAGGAGGAGGAGGAGGAGGAGGAGGAGGAGGAGGAGGAGGAGGGGGAGGGGGCAGGCGAGGGAGCCCCGGCCCTGGGGGAGGGGCCCTGAGGGAGCCCTGATGGGCTTCCGGCACCATGGAGAGGTCCTGTGGGGCGGCCGCCCCTTCTTCTCTCGGTCGTTTCCCTCTCGCCCAGAAGCGCGCGCCCCTTCTTCTATATATATATATATATATATATATATATCTCTATATACAGAAACTCCCGATCAACCGCAGAGCGGCGGATGTTAATAATAGAAAGCCGGTCCCAGGAAGAGGGTCGAGAGCACCAAGAGTAGGCGGCCCGAGACAATGGCAGTATGGATCTGGATTGTCCAAAAAAGGCTTGAGACCAGCATGCGCAGGCAGCTCCAGACGGAGGCTCTGGATATATTTTAAAGGGCTCTGGGATACTTCTGGATCGGGGCAGGGAGTCTGGAGGGCGTGGGGCGGTGAGGCGCCAGTTGGATGAATGGTTGTTGTGTTCACTGTCAACCCCATGAGTGCACTTTGAACTACAATCGAACCTAGGACAGAAGAACGCCCCTCGAGAGCACGAGACCCTCCGCCGGCCAAAACGCACAGAACATCCACGGGTACCCTGCCCAGGGTGCAAAAAAAAACATCCAACAAGCACGAAGATCATTAGGGGACCGTCCCCGAGCCGACCTCGATCTGATACCTCGGTCCGACCGTATGTATACACAAGAAGAAAGATGCAAAACAAGGGGAACTGAGAACTTCCCAGATCGTGGCAAGCCGCTGCACGGCTCCACTCATCTTTCTGTGCTGCGCCGATCCAAAAATTCCTCGCGGACCTGTTACGGCTGCTGTTTCGAACTGTGACGCGACGACCGAGCCGCGTCTCGCCCAATACAACTCGCACAACTCGAACCCAGTCCAAGTCCTTCCCTGCGGAAGCAGAGGCGGCACAAGGTCCCCTGCAAGGCACACTCTCAGGAGACCTGGCTGCCCGAATCTCCGACGATACGTTCTTCTCCGCAGCGGCACATGATCCCCTGCACAACACACTCTCAGGAGGCCTGGCTGCCCAGATCTCCAGCACAATGTGTTTTCGACTTTCGACTGGGGATTTTTCCTGGATCTCGATGTCGGCCCCTTGGGCCCATTATCAGGCCCCCAGGCCACAAAAAAACAGAAAAGGTCTGGACCTCTGAAAGAACGCGTTTCGTGGACGCTTGCCCAGAAAAGAAACCTTGACACGTTGGGCCCGCGGGGGGCACAACATTGAGCGCCCCTTGAGAACCAGGAGGGGAGGCCCCCTGGACACTGGCCTCCCTCATCGGCCCCCCCTCCCCTCCAGGGGGGATGGGGGGGGTTCGAACTAGGGAGGTCCTTCCCCCCGTCAAAGAATGCCCTGAGTTGCAACGGTGGCGGGAGGGGGTGGTTCGAACCAGGGGGGGCTGTCCGAGGGGGGGGGGGGGTCCAACCAGGCCCAGCCCCCTGACGTGCCAAGGGGAAGGGGGTGGGTTCGAACGGGGGGGGGGCGGCCTGAGTTGCAGGGGGCAGAGGGGACTCGAACCGCCCCCCCCTCTGCAACAGACAACGGCGACCGCAGGCGCCAACGCCGGCGCCGTCGGACAGTGATGAAGACGACGACGACGACGACGACGACGACGACGACGACGACGACGACGACGACGACGACGACTATGACGACGGTGACGGCGACGTCAACGAGGACGCCGACGACGATGACGACGGAGACGACGATGACGACGACGAAGGCGACGGCGATGACGATGGCGACGGCGACGACGAAGATGACGACGGCGATGGCGACGGCGACGGCGGCGGCGACGGCGACGGCGACGGCGAGGGCGACAGCGACGGCGACGACGGGTGCTCGCTTGCTCGCTCGCTAGTTAGAACAAGCATGCGGGCGAGCGAGCGAGGGTAGAAGGGAGTCGGTCCTCTCGCTCGTTCGCTCGAGCAAGCGAGCGCGAGTCAAGCAGGACGGGTCGGGCTCGCGGGACATAAATACATGAATGGTGGTCGCTTGCTCGCGCATTAGCTGCAGCAAGTATGCGAGCGAACGAGCCGGGCGGGGCGGGGCGGGCGGGACATTAAATTCATATGCGTGGTGCTCACTTGCTCGCTCCCTCGCTCGAGCAATGGCGAGCGAGCGACTCGGTCGGGTCGGGTCTGGTAGGCGGGACATGAAACGGGTGGTGCTCGCGAGGTCGCTCGGTCCCGCGCTCGCCTGAGCAAGCGAGCGGGCGAGAGGGGTGGGTCGGGTCGGGCGGGCGAGACAGTAAATGCATGGTGCTCGCGTGCTCGCGCACTCGCTCAAAGAAGCGAGCGAACGAGGAAAACAGACGATCATCGTCGGAGTCGTCGTCGTTGTCATCGTCGTCGTCGTTGTTGTTGCCGCCGTCGTCGATGTCGCCTCGTTGTCGTCGTCGTCCTCGGAATCGTCGCTGGCCTCGCCGTCCCCGTCGTCGCCGTCAGCATCGTCGCCGTCGTCATCATCGTCGCCGTCCTCGTCGTCAGCGTCGTCATTGTCGTCTTCGTAGTCGTCGTCGTCGGCGGCGACGCCGCCGTCGTCGTCGGCGTCGGCGTCGGCGTCGTCGGCGTCGTCGCCTTCGTCGTCGTCGGCGGGAGGCGTCGCCTTCGTCGTCGTCGTCGTCGTCGCCGTCGTCGTCGTCGCCGTCGCCGTCGTCGTCGTCGTCGTCGTTGCCGTCGTCGTCGACGGCGCTGGCGCTGGTGCGGGCGCTCGCCGTCGTCGGTTGCACGGGGGGGGGCCAGTTCGAACACCCCCCCCTTGAGAGATGGGGTGTCGCCCCCCCCTGGCCTTGAGAGGAGGGCGCCCTCCTACCAGTTCGAACTTCCCCCTACCATTGAGGGGAGGGGGGTGTCTGGTCCGAACACCCCCCCCCCGCTTGCACAAGGGGGGGGGGGCACTGGTTCGACGTTTGCAACTCAGGGGACGGGGGGGAGAGCTGGTGCGACCCCCCCCTCCCTTGCATCTCAGGGGGGGGGGCCTGGTCCGAACCTCCCTCTACCTCCGAGCGTGCACAGAACGCGCTCCTTCGGACCTCTTGGGCCGCGCACCGGAAAAAAAGGCATCGCTGGGCCGAGCAGGGGTGCGATCCGCCAGCGGTCCAGCGCGCCGAGGGGGCACGGCGGGCTCCCCCCAGGGTCAGACGGCCGGCACGTGCCCGCATCCGCCAGCGACCCTGCTGCCACGGCACGTGCCTCGCATCCACCAGGGGTCGCGTAATGGAGGGCGGTAAGTGGGAACTGAGAGGCCAGCGAGGGCTGCAGAAAAGGGGCCGTTGAGGTCCCCAAAGGCGGCCTCTGGGGCCCGAAAAGGGCACCTTGCTCCCACCCCCATTTATCGCCCCCAGTAATTCGCACCCAAGCCCACCTCCCCGGGGGAGGGGGACTTCCCGGGAGGGCGCCCCAACAGATTTACCACAACCAATGCTCGAGCCCGGGCGATGCTGCACCTCTGCCGCGGCGCAAGGCCTCCGTGAGAAACCGCGGCCCGCTCCACGAGCGGCCCAATCCCAAACGTGCACCTTGGAAGGCTCCACTTCGGGGCGCTACGGCAGGCTCGTGTCGTGCCGATTTCGGGCCTGGTTTCCCACACCCCTGGGATCCTTCAACCTTACACGATCGGCCGTTTCCGAAACGTCACATCGTTCAACGTCGGCCAAGTCTCTGCCGCTGGCGGCGTACAACGTTGAACGCCGGCGGCGGGGTCCACCGTAGTCGCCCCCCGCTCGGCTCACCAAGCTCCGTTGCCGCTCAAGGGGGCCTTCGGGGGTGCCGGGAAGTTCGAGAAAGAGAGCGACGAGGTTCTAATTTTGCTCGCGACCATCACGTCGTCAGCGATTCCAAATCGGAGCTACAGTCGGATTCAGCAAGCAGTGGTGCTAGAGGCCCTTGCATCGCGCCCCCCCCCCCCGAAAAAAAAACATCGGGGGAGGGGAACGAGCAGAAGGAGAGGGCAAGAAGGAGCGCACATGCAGCAGGGATGTCACTGAATGAGACTGCAAGGGTGTCGAGAGAAGCCCGATTGGAGCAACACAGAGATATCGATACTGATGCCCCCCAAACCTCAGGTCTGGAGAGCATCGGTGTCGAAATCGTGGTCACAACGCACCATTGGAGGAGTCCTTTCCCAAACAAAAACTCTGACAAAGATTTCGAAGCGGTCCACCCGTGATGAAGAAAAAGGGGTACCGGTATCAACCTTTCCCTGGACGAAGGGGCACACACATGAAGATGAACTTTCTGCGATCCGCGCGGATGCCTGGATCAGCGCTAGCACCCCCTTGCGCTGGTCCCAGAAATCCGCGCAGAACATCCGTCTATGATACACAAGGATGCAATCAGAGAAGCCCCCCACACGTCCACAGCAGATTCGCGTCGTGACGCCTTCGGCGCTGGACTCTGGCACCGTGGCTCGCTCAACCTTGGACGACCGCGGCTCTCGTACCAGAGATCGCTTGATGTCGGCCGGTCGTGAGCCACTGGCGGCGTTCAACCCTGCCCGCCCGCGCCGCGGTCGCCGCCACGTCGACACGACACGAACCCAACGTGGCACGTCACGAAAGGATGGTTCAGCCGTTCAGCATCCCGCAAACATTCTACTCGGATCCGTCAGCATCGCTTCGGGTAAACGGATGCCGTCGGCACGCGCGCCAGATCGGGCTGCATCGACATTGAGTCGCAATCGAGTCGGATCGGCTGGCGACCAGATGCACATGAAATACAGCGTCATGCAGGCACCGGGCCACATCGGATCGTCGGGAACTCGAGCTCGAACCGCATCTAACCCGGTGAACTCCACATTCGGGGGCGGGGTGCAAGCGGCGAGGTTGGTGAATCGGCTCACGCAGCGTTCCCCGGCGCCTCTCGGCGGCTGAGACGCCAATGTCTCGAGAAAGGAGACTGGCGGCGGAGGCGACTTCCTCCAGCCAGTCCGTCCCAGCCCACTTCCTCCAGCCAGGAGGCTCGCATGGGGAGCAGGTGGAATGGCGCGACAGCTCTCGACATAGACTTGCACGCAGAAAGCCTGGCCTCCCGGATCATCTGCCTCGCCCGATCGTCCTTCAACGTTGGCAGTCGTTGCCCTCGCCACCTCCTGCCCCGTCCAGGGAGGCAAGACGCGCCTTCTCCGTCGAGAGGTTCTCCAGCGTCTCCTTGAGAGAGCGGATGTACGCCTGCGAGGGGGGCGGGGCGGCCCGCGCCAGGGGAGGGCCTCGGAGGCGCCGCCGCGGAGGTCCAAGCGCCGATGCAAGCGACGCACGCGGCCCCCCGAAAGCTTGCGCGTGTGCACTCATTTCGCTGTCGAAGAATTGCCTCCACACATGCCCAGATCTCTGACGATGTGCTTTCACTGGCGTTTGCTCCTGAATTTCAGCCCTCGGGGGTGGTGCTCGGGATCTGCGACCATCAGAAATGGATCCGGGGCGAATCACTGGCCTCGCGAAGCGGCCAATATCTCTGAGGCCGCGGCTTGAAAACACATGTGGGCGGATTTCAGGGTGTGGTCGACGCGCTCGAGCCCAGCTGTGTGGTCGCGGATAAGAGTGAAAGGGACGGGAACACAAATGCAAGGGCCGAGTGCATCCGCGCAATCGACGGGCGGGCATCCTCGACCGTCCTTCCCGTTCCTCCTGGGGGCCTTCATGCCATCGTTGCGCCGCATGCCGTAGCCCTCGAGGTCGCCTGTTATGTCTGGCTCCTGGGGCCAGCAAGGCACGCGGCGAGAACCAGAGGGGGGGGTGCGGGAGAGGAGCGACAGGGGGGATAAGGAGAAGGGAGAGCAGAAAGAAGGACAACAGGAGGGGGAGGCGGCAGGGGGGAGGAAAACGTAATCCTGGGACATCCGGCCGACACGCCTGGCCCCAGTGGACACCAGACCTAAACTGGGTCTGGTGCTGGGGCCGCGGAGTAAGTGGCGGGAGGAGATAGGAGCGAGGGAGGAAGGTGGAGGAGGAGGAGCAGCGGGATGAGGAGAAGGACGGAGGAGTCAGGAAAATGAAAAAAGTGAAAAGAAGAGAGGGATTGAGGGGTGAGCAAGGAGGAGGCAGAAGAGACGAGAAGCAGCAGAAGCGAGGAGGGCGGAGAAAGGATGGGGAGTTGATGAGGAGGTAGGGGAGGGAGGAGGGAGGGCGAGGTGAAGACCAGCCTTGATTAGGAGGGGGAGAGAGAATGACTAGAGGTAGGATGAGGACGAGGACAAGCACCAGGGGGCATGGCAACCCCAATCCCCGACTACTTGGTCAAACACACTTGGGCCCAACTCGGAGATATACGACAGGGGGCGTCCTGGGGATTGGGGGAATTGGGGCCGAGAAATCGCGTGTGAGCAAGGCAGGCAATGAGAAAAGAGGAAACGGGCCAAGCAGGAGGAGGGAGGAGGGAACTAAACCATTAGGGGGCGGAGCAGAAGCAATCGGAAAGAGGGCGAGCCCCTCCTCCCTCCTCCCCTCCTCGTTCGCGTCCTCCTCGGTTCTCTCCATCTCCTGCTCGTTCTCCATCGTATACCCCCCTTCACTCCCCAGGCCCTCCCCCTCCCCTCTTTCACGCCCCTCAGAGAGAGAGAGAGAGAGAGAGAAAGGAGGAGCGGGAAGGAGTGATGGGAGAACGAGAAAAGGGTGAAGTGGGGACGAGGAGTGCGATGGGGGGAGGCGGGGGGAGGGGAGGGGGGAGCGTCCACTGCCCCCGCCCCGACATGAAACAAGCGTATCCCGAGGGAATCGGGTCCTGGACCCCTGGTCTTTCCCCTGGGACCAGCTCTTCCTCCCGAGTCGTTGTTTGACGCCCCCGGGGCCCGTGGGGGAAGGCCGAGAGCCAGAGAACGGCGAAGAGCCTCTCCAAGATTCGTTTCTTCAGGACCCGTTTGCTTCATGGCGATCCCCCGCCTCTCGGGTCGGAGGCAAAAGGGGGGTTCGTACAAGAAGGCCGGCTTTCCCAGCGCCTCCCAGCGCCGGAGACGGACATGCAGCGAGGAAAGCGCTCGGCGGCCAGGCCGAAACCAGCTGCATCCAGCAGATTTGCAGCTCGCCTTCCCGATGTCCTGCTTCCCGTCTGGCCAGGCCCCTGCGATCGGGGGCGTCCGGGAGCGGGGCGTCCAAGGGGAGGGGTGCGCAGATCACAGCCCGAGGCATGTGCGCTGACGAGTCGGCCAGAAATCTGAAGTTAGATCTGATGGGCCTGTTTTCCACCACCACCACCACCATAAGTTGGAGGGGGAGGGGGTCCTCCTCCTCCTCCTCCTCCTCCTCCTCCTCCTCCTCCTCCTCTTCCCCCCTCCAACTTATGGTGGTGGTGGTGGAAAACGGGTCCATCAAGATCAGGGCCCATGAAAGAGGCGTGAACTGAGAAGTGTGTCGAATGAGGAAGAGGCCATGAGGTATGAAAATCGACCAGGGCCCCGGCCATCACATCCCCGCCGCCTCGGGCCTGGAGGAACAAACGAAAAACTGTGAAGACAGAAACTGTCGGAGGTCCACGCGGATTCCATGATTCTGCGCTGAATCCCCTCCATGGCGCGCGGAGCGCGCCAAGGGTGGCGCCAGAGGCGCTTCCAGGGGGGCCCATCACAGATCCAAGAAATCAACGCGGAGCCCCGAAAGTTGATGGTTATGCCGATCTTCCTCGTTCAAAAAACATCACCCCCCTCTTGACCCCCCACCCGACTGCGAGGGCCGCGGCTCGGGGGAGAGCTCCTCGCCGGGATCGCACACGTGGAACCTGCCGCGCGTCGGCCGCGGACACCGCCCCTCCCCCTCCCAGGTCAGCGCACCCGCGTTGCTCTCCTCCCGGCGTCCTCCCGACCTCTTGGCAGTGAGAGGAAGAATTCAAGCGGACAGCAGCAAACAAGATAAACAGAGAGCGTAAGCAGCAAGTATGTCAAGACAAGAATGCGTGGCGTTGGTATGCCAAGACAAGAAACAAGTATGTCGGTAACAACAACAATAAACAAGGGAGGTTTCCGAGAAGAATGCGTGGCGGGAATGTATCCATACCCACAGCCTGGGAACCGATGTTATGGCACTGCCCGAAGGCCGCCGTGTCCCCTGGCATGTTGAGGCGTGGTAGAATGCCAAGTGCTTTTCTGGCACTGTGTCTGTAGACTTCTATAGGCCACCACCACCACCCGCTACCAGCAATCAGACGCCTCTTCGCGAGGCTCTCTGGACTGCCAGACGCCTCCCTGGCACTCTCCAAGGCGTCTACGGTGCTCAAGATGGCTTCCAAAACGGTCCAGGTAGACAACCAAGCCCGTCAGGGTGGCCCAATGCGCGTCCAAGACGGCGCAAGTTGGCCCCAAGTCGGTTCAAAATGGCCTCAGGACTGCCGAAGATACTTTCCCGACGGCACTCGAGGGTATCAAGCGGACCTCCACCAGGTCCCGAAGAGGCCAAAATCACTGATTGCCACCAAGTATGTGATGGATTGTCAAATTCTCAACTTTTCGTGCTTCCGTGAGCTGAAAACGGCCCAAGACGCCTCTACGGTGGCTTCGAGACGGCTCCAAGAGTGGCCCAAAATGGTCCAAGAGCGGCCCAAGAGGACGCCTAGCCGGGAACCCTCAGACAGCCATCAAGGCCCCCTGATAGGGCACCACGACGATCCAGAGAGGCCCCCCACGGCGCACCCCGAAGACGCCCCAAGAGGCCCGCAAGAGGCAGGCACCACCCAACAAGCTCCCGGAGCCTTCGACAAGCCCGAACTGTCACACGTGGCGGCGGCCTCCCGTGCCCTCTCGAGTAGCCGCCACCCAGAATGCTGCGCTGGCGCGGTGGCAGAATTGCCGGAAGCAACTGGTTATTGGGGCCATCTGGGGCCGAAATATATCTATATCAACCGCCTGCCGAGGTCCCCGAAGATCGATCCCCCAGGCGGTTGTGATGGATTAGTTCCAGCCTCGGAGGAGCAGCCGCGAGGATGACATTCGGAAGAGGGAATATAGACCGACACTCGAAAAAAACATAAAAACAGATTCACAAGACAGCTCGCCGCTTGGGCCCCACCGCCAGCCCAAACAGCGAGCAGAAGTCGGACGAAGCCACGCACGCATTCGAATGCTGACACTCTGTCGAGGGCGACATAAATTGCGCCCTCGGCGGCTGAGAATAAAACCGTCTCCTATCGGTTGCGCCATAGGTTGCACCCTCGGCAGCCGAGAATTAAACCGTCGGAAGAGGGAAAAGAAACCGGCACTCGACAAAATACGTACGTTGAACCATAAACAAAAACGTTCGGTGGTCCGCGCGGATTCCTTGACTCGGCGCTGGACCCCCAGGAGGCGCCGCAGGAACAGACCCTAGCGCGATGCGCGCGCCAAGGGTTTGTGTCCAATGCCGATCTAAGAACTCCGCGACGACCTTCGGAAATTGTTGCTTGTGCCTTCTATCTTCTGCCTCACGGATCAAGAGATTTCGATATGCTGGCTCACTCGTTTGTTCCCGGAGAGGGCGCGGGCCCAGGGTTGTCTTCTAGTTGGTTAACCAACCGGCCTTGACTTGAAGAGGGCCAGCGAGATTATGTGCGACAGATAACGAAGTAAAGCTCCACTCACCCTCACTGCTCATTGGTCCTTCCCATCGTCTTCCTACAACTTCGGTCCTCCTCCTCCTCCTCCTCCTCCTCCTCCTCTTCTAGCTCCTCCTCCTCCTCCATCCTCCTGCTCATGGACCCTCACTATCCTCCCCCAAATGTGATCCCTCCTCCTCTTCCTCCTCCTCAATCCTCCTCCTCCTCCTCGTCCTCCTCCTCTTCAATCTTCCTTCTCTTCGATTCACATCTTACTCCTATTCCGTCATCCTCCTCCTTGGTCTTCCTCCTGCTCGATCCGCCTCCTCCTCCCTCCCCGATCCTCGACCCATCCTTCTCCTCCTCCTCCTCCTCTTCTTCCTCCTCCTCCTCGGTCGCCCTCCTCCTCCCCCTCCTCCTCGTCATCCTTTTTCTCCTCCTCCTCCTCCTCCTCCCCTCCTCCTCCTCCTCCTCGGTCGCCCTCCTCCTCCCGTCGCCCTACTCGTCCCCCGATCATCCCGCCTGACAGGCCGCCCAGCGAATGAGATTCGTCCTTCCCGCGCGCGCGCCCGCCCAGGCGGGCGCACTGGTCGATGGCCCACAGGGGGAACACGCAGCACGGCGACTCGGCCTCCCCGCAGCCCCCGCTCGGGCCGGATCAGGAGCGGCGAAGGAGGCAACCCAGGTGGCGACATCCGAGCCCTCCCCCCACCAACCATCGATTCCCCTGAACCGATGGGAGGCGGACGTGGGGTTCGGATCTCGCCACGTGTTCGACGAATTCCGAACACCTCCGCCGCCCATCGAGTTGCCTGAAATGTTGATCAGCGAGGGTATTGCTCGGATCCCGCCGTCGAGCAACCACAACCGATGGGCTGAGGAAACCGCCCCTGGCGCAACGACCCCGGCCACCCCCAGCGGCGATTACCTCCGCGCGGCGCCCGGTTATCGATTGCCGCCCACAGGTCATCACCGCTGCGGTGTCTTGGATGGCCGTGGTGGGGCGCCGGGGGCGGTTTCCCAACAGGTTCTAGAAGTGTCTCGTCTTCGCCCACGGACGGATGGCGATGACAGCACAGGGGAGGATCCGCTCACGCAGCTGATTTTCCCGGTGCCTCCCAGCGCCTCGGGGCGTCTGAAGCGCCTGGCGGCGGGGCCAAAACCAGCTGCATTCGGCAGAAATCCCACCAGCCCTCTGGGCGTCGGTGGTTAAGGGCGTTTCCTCTTCCACCCCTCCCTCTTCTCCTTCGGGGAGGGGTTTACCCCTCCCCCTACCCCCTCCCCATGGACCTGGACGGGGGGGGCCGCGAGCGGTCAGAGCGTCCAAAACGGCCTCGGCGAGGAAGCCGAAATCATTGATTTTACCAGGGTTTGGGCGCCACTTTGGCCTCCTGGGGGGGCAACCCTAATTGAAGCTCTCCTCTTCTTTGATCGATTTCCTCCAAGATGGCCCCAAGAAGCGCCGAGGAGGCCCCAAGAGGTCCCAAGATGGCCCCAAGATGGCCCCAAGAGGCCCCCAAGAGGCCACCCAGGAGGCCCCCAGGAGGCCCCCAAGAGACCCCCAAGAGGCCCCAAGTGACCCCCCAGAGGCACCCAAGATGCTCCAAGAGGCCTCGGCGAGAATGCCAAATCATTGATTTCACAGAAAGGTTTTAGCCACATGTTGGCCTCTTGGGGGGCACTGATCAAGATGACTCCAAGAGCGCCTGGGAGAGCCCAAAATGACCTCCAAAATGGCTCAAGATATCACAAGATGTCTCATAATGGCTTCCTCTGTGTGCTGCCCACTTCCCTCATCGAGGCAATTCCTCTGGGCATCGTTTCTGGATGGGCTGGTGGGGATTATTTTTTTTTACAGCCGCAGGCGGAAGCGCCGGCGGCGAGGGGTCACGGTCGGGCTGCGGCCGTGACGAATTGCCCGGGCGCGCGCGGGGGCCGCGGATCAGGCGGCGGTGCAAGCAGCAACCCAGGGCGTCTGAAAGGCCAGGCGGTCGTGCAAGCTGCAACCCAGGGAGTCTGAAGGGTCAGGCACCCAGGAAGCAAAACGCACGCGGCCAAAATGGCGCGCCGTACATTCCCAGCCATGGGACGTGACAACCGACAATCGCATGGTGGTGGGAACCGAACTCCGTGCAAGAAATGTCAGCCCAGGGTGCCTGTCGGCTATGAGCAGACCGATAGCGTAGCTGACGTCGTCCAGCAAGGAGGGGAATTCTGACTGGTGGGGATTCACGAAGCGTCAACAATTGTACCCCCCTTGCCGTATCCAACCCTCTCGTCCGACCCGACTCTGGCTCTGGTGTCATGGTGCGATTGGCTCAGGCTGAGGGCGTCTCAGGATACACTGCAACAGGATCATGGGGATGCGCTAAAAGAATCGGGAAATCGGGAAATCGAATCGGGAAATCGGGGCAGACCGGAACGTGCTTCGGACCGAACCACATCGGCACGTGGTCGGAATCGAATCAGATCGGCTGCACCAAAATGCACAACGCGCCAGCCGCATCGGATCCGTCGAAATATTGGATCGAATCAACCCGAATCGGAATCGATATCGAATAGTATCGAGCGGATCGATACGGGCCGTGCAAGATGCGAGTGGCTCAGGATGTGCTCATGGAGAGTCAGAATATGTGGCGGCCATCGTCTCCGGAGTCCGCATGGGGCACATATGGGAAAGCTTCGTGACTCGTTGCCCCGCTCATACCCCTCGCGAGGTGCGCTCTGACCAGAATCTCGAGGCAAATCTAGCCGAGGCGACAATGAGACCCCTGGAAGCGCAAAGAGGTAGACAAACGCTTAATTTTCGTGACTCATTGACCCCGCTCATACCCCTCGCGGGGTGCGCTCTGACCAGAGTCTCGAGGCGAATCTAGCCGAGGCGACGAGGAGCCCCCTGGGGACTCAAAGAGGTAGACAAACGCTCCAGCCCTCAAAACCTCGAGCATCGACGCTTGAACCTCGAGTCGTCGTCGTCGTCGTCATCGTCGTCGTCGTCGTCGTCGTCGCCGGCGGTCGCCGCCGCCAACTGCGGCCGACGCTCGGCGGATGCCCACCCTGGCCAGCCCCTCCTCGCCGACGGTCGTCGCGGGGTTGTCCCCCGAGGACTGGTAGAGACTTCGCCGACGGGGGTGGGCGGGGGGGCGAGGGGGCACGAGCCCCAGGACTGGCGCCGCCCGCCCCGCACGCCGCGCTGCTGCTCATCTTCCTCGATCCTCAGTCCTTGAACCGCCTTCGAGCGGTCTCATCCACTCCTTGTCCTCTTCCTGCTCCACCCCCTCCTGCCTCCTGCCCCCTATCCCTCCCTCCATCCCCGATCTCTCTCCTCGTGGTAATCCCTAGCATCGAGAAGACAGGGATCGAGGGCGCCAGCAGTATGGAGGGCAACCAAACAGAAGGGGCGACGACGCCCGCACGCCATGCCCTAATGGGCACGGGCGGTCTCCCCAGAGGAGGGCGCGCGACTTCAACGTTCGCTTCCTCATGATAATCCTGGTCCTAGTGGTCCTCCCGAACCTCTGGCCCTCCATCTCTTCCTCCCTACCCCCTCCCCTCCCTTCTTCAAGCTCCTCCTGCTCCCTCCCTGTCTGCTGCTCGAACTGCACTTCCTACTCCTCCTCCTCCTCCTCCTCCGCCTCCTCCTCCGCCTCCTCCTCGCCCTCCTGATCAGGCTCTTCAAGTGGATGCCCTTCATCCTAAGGTCCACTGCGCTTTCGAGACGTGCAGCAGTGGATGGATCTCGCCCAGCGAATCTTGCCCCGCTCCTTGTCCTCCTCCTTGTCCTTCCCCTCGCCCCCTGTCCCTGCCCTCCTCCTCCTCCTCCTCCTCCTCCTCCTCCTCGTCGTCCCCCCTCCTCCTTTTCATCCTCTGAGGGGGTTCAAAAAGAGGGGCGCGCCGAGAGCCTCGCTGATCCTCGCAGCAGCAGCAGCAGCAGCAGCAGCAGCAGCAGCAGCCAGAGTCTCGCTGCTGCTGTGCCCCCTCCTCCGACTGGCGCAGCTGCCTGGCTGACATTGGGGCTGGATTCCCTCCTTCGCGATGGCCGATCCGATCCTCGTCTTCCTCGTCGTCCTCCTCCTCGTCGTCGTCCTCCTCCTCCTCCTCCTCCTCCTCCTCCTCATAATCCCTCCTCCCCCTCCTCGTCCTCCTCCCCCTCCTCCCCCTCCCTCTTGGGTACGGTGAGGATGTTTTGCTTAGCGTGTCGCGTCGACAGCCCCTGCGTTACGCTACGCCTTACAAGCTGATAGCGTGTCGCTGTGCTTCCTGAAACGGGGGACTGGAAATAGCTCGGAATGATTTCTTCGGGATTGCGAAATGCTTACGTAATTAGCGTGTCGGGCCGAAGTGTGATTGGCCAGAACCGGCGGCGCAAGCTGCTGAGCAAACGCTCCTGACTATTGTATTTGACGATACGGGGCCGCTAAAAACTGCCCCCGAGCACCGAGACAGACCTCTGGCGCGATGTTGTCCGAGAGCAGAGTCTAGCCGTGGCAACGAGAAGCTTTCATCAGGCCCAAAAGGGGCGACGAGCCTTCGAAAAAGTTTGACTTCCGATCCTCTCCTCCTCCTCCAACTCTCCTCCTCCTCCTCCTCCACCTCCTCCTCCTGCACCTCATCCTCCTCCTCCTCCTCCTCCTCCTCCTCCTCCTCTACCCCTTCTCCTGACAATGACTCCTCCCTGTCGCACCCCCCGGGCTGCTCGCCCGAGGCTGCTGCACCGGCCCCTCGTCCTCAAGCTTGAGATTTGCAACATTCCCAAAACATACAGCCAAGTGGCGGAAAAAAGGAACAAGTTGGGTAAGAAAGAGCTCCGCTCCGCGGTCCCGAACCACTCCACACCCAGAATTTCCCGGTCCTGGAGAGCATTCGGTTCTGGGGGAAGGAGAAGAAACGCACAAGACTGCTGCCAACAGCAGCCAAAGCCCCCCGGATCAGAAGCACTGGCCGGAGGCCAACACAATAAGGAATAGTTTGAGACAGAAATGGGCTCGATATTCCTTGGGCCCTTCTACGGCTTTTCTTCTAGCCTTCCTCGTGCACGCAGGCGCTTCTGGGGCCAAAAAGGGGCTTCGTTCCTTGTTTATCGTTCCCTCTGTCAGCAGCACGACTGTACGTCGGCCGGTGCTCGACGTGGGACTCTGCCCTCAGCGCCGCGCACATGCCTCTTGAAAGTCGGCAGCAGCTCCAAGGACTGAGGTTCTCTTTCGAATTGTGGCTCTCGCCCAAACGCCGCGCAGATTCGTCTTACAAGTTTTCAACCGTTCCAAAGAAGGCGGGCGAATTGTTACCAAAACGGCTCTCGCATGAGTGCCGCGCACGTACGTCCTAAGACTTGGGCGGTCCCGTTTCGATGTGCGGCTTTCGCCCAAGAGCCGCGCGCATTCGCCTCCAAGTTCGCAACAAATTTCAAGGATCCGCATGGTTGGGGATTGTCAGGGGGCAACAGCCGCGTTCACTTGCGGCGTTGACGTCCCTGGAGCGGCGTGCTGGTACTATTGAGGACTCTCAGATGGTGGTCTTTCAATGGAGCAGGACCAGCAATGACAACACATTCTTGTAGAGACCTACGAGGAGGGAACTTGGAGGGAGGCTGTACTGCAACATCGTTGAGGGGATTTGGTCTACACTGGTTCTTCTCCTCCTCCTCCCCATGAAGCTGGAATCTAGCGGCCTTCTCGTCCTCCTCCTCCTCCTCCTCCTTCTCCCCCTTTTCAGCCTTCCCCTCCTCTTCCTCCTCCTCCTCCTCCTCCTCCTCCTCCGCCTCCTCCCTCTCCCCTGGGAACTCGCCCCCGATCGTCTGCATGGCGCGCACCACCATGTTCTTGAACGACTTGACGGTCACGGACATCTCGAAGGGAACGTAGCGGGTCTCAACGCCGAAGTACAGGGGACCCTGCGAGGGGGAGGGGCGGCAAGAAGGGCACATGTTCTGGCGTCGCGGCCGCACGCGCAGCTGCGTGGCGAAGTCGGGCCAGAACCGGGGAGTAGGCGTTAGCGCAGGCCAGTTCAGGGACCGCAGGGGCATGCTGGATTCACCCAAAAGGGACCGCGCAGCATGCCTCGTTGGGGGGGCAGCCGCGAGGGGGGGGTGAGAGGGCCAGCCAGGCGGAGGAAAGAACCACGGAGGGGGGAAAGGCGCTGACACGGCCACGTTCCTTGTAAGCCTCGATCCCTCACGACTCTTGCCCCCCCTTGCCGTCCGCCCGGTGTGGGGCGAATGAAAGGTCCCTGGGAAGGGGTCGAGAGGTCAGAGGACCCTGCACCGAGAAGATCATATCGGAGATGTGGGGGGATCGACGACAAAGGCCCGTGTGTGATTCTAGACCCTCTCGAACCTCCGAAGGTCTCAGGGGAGCTATACATACCTGCGGTGACGTGACCCTCGGAGGCCCCCGCAGAGAGGGGGAGGGCTGGAGGGAGAAAACCAAGCAACGCCAAGGGGGGTCAGCACCACCTGGTCCAGAACCCGCCCCCCTGGACCCCCACGAAGCCGCCAAGACTCCCGAAGGCGCCCAAAAACGTCCAAGTCCTCGTCAATCCTCTAGTGTCTGTCCTCGCCCCCCGACTTCCAAAGAGGAAGTGGAGACCCGTTGCTGGCCGAACAAAGGGAGCACGGCCAGGGTCCCCATCTTCCCCCCCCAAACCCGCCTGTCATCCGCTCCTCCTCATCCTCCTCCTCTTCCTCCTCCTCCTCGCCCCAACCCGATTCGCCTGATTCCCCTTCCCCCCAGCGGCTAGAATAAGACAGGCGAGAAGGGGGGGAAGGGAGGTCGGAGGGGGGGGGGGGAGGTGAGAGCGGAGGAGGGGGGAGGGAGAGGAGGAGGCGGAGGAGGAGAGGAAAGGGGAAGGGAGGAGGAGGAGGAGGAGGAGGAGGAGGAGGAGGAGGAGGAACGAACAGCCTGAGGCAAAACATCCCTCATCTGCGCCGCCTATCGGGCGGCCTCCTTTCTGGCCCGAATCCGCCCGGCGAGTGCACGCAATCGTTCGTTGTCGACGAGGCGCGTACTTCCTGCCGCAGCGGGGCCTGGAGGAGCAAACAGCACCGTCTTCAGCGGCGCCCGAGAAACAGTTTCCACACCCTCAGCATCCCGTTTGTAATGAGGGTGGAGGCCATCACCAATCCGTTTGAGGGCACGTTCCCCTGAGGCCCCCAGCTTTTGTCGAACATATCTGGCCGAGCAAGTGGTACCGACGCGAAGTGTACGCACCACATTTGGTGCAGAACTTAACTTGTGGAAACAAGCCGACTCAGCACCCTCGAGGCGCCGCAGGGCCGTCCACAGACCAGCGCACCCCATCATGGGTCGGTCCTTGCCAGCAAATGCCACCAGGAAGCAACGCGAACAGCTGAAAGCGACCCCCTCGAGCTGCTCCCATTCATGCCAGTCGGGCGGGGGTTTTACTCGGGGGAGGCGGGCGGCCTTCGGAGGCCGAACAGAATCAAGCTTCGGGGAAAAGGGGCATGACAACCCCGAACACCTCTGCACATGAGAGGAGGAGCTGCGCCCGCCGATCCAGCTCCTCAAAATCAGCAGGTGCAGCCTGAGGATGGAGCGAGAAAGCGAACCTGGCAAGACTGTCCGCGTCCTGGTTGCCCAGCGCGGTTCGTCTCTCGTCCCCGGGCAATGCCTGGATCATATCACCTGAGCGGTACGCTGGGGTGTAGTGGGCTTGTCCAGCAGCCTCAAAGCCAGGGGCCTGTTGGGCAGCACGGCGCACTCCAGCAAACATGTGTTTGGGCCCTAGCTGGGCCTGGCCCGCAGCATTGTGCAATCGGACCGCTCCTTTGCCATCGCTGTAAGGGGTAGACATCCCAGACGCGAACGCACAAACAGTGGCAGTGTCAATTTTCAGCAGCCTGCGGAGTCTGGTGCATGCATGGCCAAATCGGGGCCATGAGACGGGCCCGAACTTTGCACTCGGGCCCAGGCCCCAGGACAAACGCAGCGAAACTGGCGCGTTTCAAATCAGTCATCGTACACTGGGAAGCGGAGCCATCCACGACCACGTCGCAGCTCGCACTCCTCTCGACAAGTTCCTGAACCGACAGCGGACTGCCTTCACCATCCTGGAGCAGAGGGTCCGTCGTCGAAGAGGGGGGAGGGAAGATCATAGGACCAGGCTGGGCCATCATCAGGCGTGACCAGAAGGCGTGCTCCTCTGCGGGGCTCGCACGAGCCTGGTCAATGATGTCCTGGGAAATCACCGCGGCTCGCGCCTGGGCCACCTCAGGAGCATCGCAAAGCCACTGGCGGTGAACAACGGAGTCAGGCTTGCCACGGCATGGGCACTGACGGGCACAGACCATCAGACTGATAGCCTTACTCAACTAGACGGACGGCTGCCCAGCAGCCCTTAGCACAACAAGCGTGGGTCCAACAGATTGCACGCGGCGTGGTTCGCTTCGAGCGCAGGAGGGGGCGGAGAGGGTCAACCGAAACGCGCCCGCCCTCGAAGGAGGGGGTCGACGCGGCGAGGTGCCTCGCGTGGGATCGCTGGACGCCTGACTGCAACAAAATCGAAACCATGGCTGACGACGCGTGCATCAAATCAACCATTCTGCCTAAACCATCTTGCCAGAGGTGAGAATCTATAGCATCCCAGCCTGTTCTGCGCAGGCTCAGAAGCATCCGATGACCAAGGCCTCTGGAGGTACGCCACTGCTGGGGACCAAGGCCATGCTCTTTCTGAGAGGCCTCCCGGGTTCGCCAGATCCGAATGTGCTCTCTGAAGCTCAAGGGGATGGTGTGCGGCGTCGTCAAACTCCTCCAATGTGAGCTCGCCCACTGTCTCGCTGGGGCTGTCGCCAGCACCCAGGCTGGAGCTCCGCGCATACATATCTCGGAGAAACCCCACGGTGAGCAGCCGTATAACTTGACAAGAGGACGCCGCGGAGCTCGCCCAGTTCCTTGTCGGACATCCTCAGGATCATCGTGCCCATTCGGGTCCGATCCCGTGGAAGATTTCTCCGAAAATGCATGGGGAAACCACGCATTGCCTTCGTGCTCCTCACCCTCTCCTTCCGTTTAGCTAAACCTTGCTTGCAGGACCGATGCTGCCCTGGCGCCAGGTCGCTGCCGAGGGAGACCACAGAGTGGCAGGCGAGCGAGGGGCAGAAGCGAGCCAGTCTCTTGGTGAGGTGCCCCGCCACACGACGAGTCAACGCAAAAGTGTTGGGCCTTGCCCCCAGCCAGACGAACGCCCAGCCGCTCATCAAAAACTTACTTCAAAACAGCAGCAGCCTCGGCCAAGGTGCGGACGACGACGTCCTCTGCCCCTGACATTGCGACCGTATCGTCATCGATGTACGAGCCCGGGGAGGCTCGGGGGTTCCGAATGCAGAACTGGCCAAGCTCGAGCACGGCATCCCCCGTTACGAACGCATCATTCTATGTCTCCTGCTGGGAGGCCTGGCTGGACGAAAAGCGGCAAGGGCCTGGGATGAACTCCGAGTCGCGAGATCCTGGGGCTCCGCCAGAGGTTGCACAGGGTTAGTGAGGACTCGAGGGATTCCCCGGCACTCAGCCCGAGCTCGAAGCCATTCCAACCTAAACGACTCGTAATACTTCTGACCGTCCCAGGTAAACCCTGCTGTGATCTCGCCGCCACTGGCCGCCTCTTGAGCTATCATGGCCTGCCCCCAAACTGTTGCCTCCGAAAGTTGCCCTGCTCCACAGGACAAATAAAATCTATGGAACCTCCCAAGAAACCCATCAACTCCAAGACGCCTCAGACGTTCCCAGATACGGACTGGAGCAGCTAGTAACAAGATCGGCCTCAAACCTCCTTTAGGCTTCTCCAGAAGCGGCAAGAGCACCCACAGGAGCTGCGACGGGAAGAGACCTGGACGATCGGTGGCCTCGAAAAGGAGCGCCATCACCTCGAGGGCGGCGTCGCTCAGGAGGCCGAAGTGGCGAACGTGCAGCGAATCAAGAGACTGTACAGTGCGTTTGCTGAAAGATTTCGACGCCGTGCGGATCTGCTCGGGGGTGGCACTCTCGAAGCACTGCCCATCGGAAATCCATGCTCCAGGGGGGCCCAGCGCGGCCTTCCGGAAGCCTCCGAGCTTGAGCGTCTCATCCTCCCGGAGTCGAACAGGATCAGCCGAAAACGCCCCAGGGGAAACCTGCACTACGGTTGGCTGCCATTTCTTCTGAAGCTTCGTGGGCCGATGCATGGACCTCGCGGAACCGCCCAGGGCCGTCTGTTGCCAATCGTCCCAAGACTGCGCTTGAATCTGATCTCCTATCTTGTCGGCATCTTCCAAATCAGCAGGTAAGGCATCCAAGAAAAGTCCCGCCCTCGCGCGCCGTTCCTGCATCTGGGGCAGGCCAGGTCCCGATGCCGAAGCCAGGGAGCGCATCCCTCGGAGAGAAGCGCCCAGGCGACCATTAAGACCTGCCCCAGGGCAAGGGCGCCGCAAAGACACCTGGAGCACAGCAGGGTGACCTTCGCCCTCGGCGAAGTTGAAAGTAGCTTGTGCGAACTCAGCGAGAGCGTGATACACCCAGCGCCATCCTGAATTTACTTGGAGTTGGTCCCCAGCTAGCTTAGGTCGATAGAAGACTGGGGCCCAAGACGCCCGAATATGCTGACCACGCTCTCCCAGGACTTTAGCTTCGACCCCCATGAAACGGACTAACTCCAGCACGGCAATCTACAACGGTCGCCCATGCAGAATTCAAATTAGACCAAGCCTCCATAGCTGGACTTTGTCGGGATAGCGCAACAGCATGCACTGCGAGGTGTCGGGCGCAATCCCAGCATCCTTCATCTGGTCGGGTTCCGAACGGAGCATCTATCGGGAGCCTCTGAAAACATCTGCAAACAAGCTGCTTGACACAAAGTGCATCTGGACGGAGTTCCAAAACAACTGGCCCACGAGGTTGAATCCCCCAACCTGCATCAGCAGCTGCCCCATGAACCAGACGAGCGACACCAGGGCCCAAAACAAAATAGTCAATGATGAAGCTCGAAGTGGGCGGCCTGGAAGTGGGCATCGTGGGCGCGAGCGTGGGCATGCCTAACTTTCTTCAAAAACATGAACCGTCCAAGACCTCGGGGAACATGCTCCAGTCGCCGGTGAGAATCGAACGCGTCGGATCCGAGATCGAGGCCCCCAACATAACCAAGAGTCCCGTGTTGATGGGCCCCATCCCCTCCATCGACTTCAGGTATATCGTGTAAAGCGCAACCGTGGGCCATCCAGGGAAATCCATGAGGACCTTGCGAATCCGATGCGGAGCCACAGGAGCATCTCCCTCTGGGGGCCACCGAATCCGAATGCTGAGCCGAGCGAACATTGCCACCCAATCAGAGAGCTCACCCGTATCAGGCTTGATATAACTTGGCGCAAAGAGAGCGCGCCACCCAAGACCTCGAGCCTTTTTTCTGTAGCACGTCCGACAAAATCGATGCTGGTGCCCACCCCCTGTGCGCAAAGGAGAACAGCTGTGCTCTCGCTGAGGCGCCTCTTGAGGGTGGTCCAGCAGGAGCCGTTGCAACTCTCTGTACAATATTTCCCATCAGTATTAACTATGGCAGGCGCCCCCTTCAGAAAGGGAGCTGGCATACCTGTGCAGGAAAGAGGTAAACCGCAAAAGTTAGGGGCAGGGCCGTCGAACATAGTGTCACCCACACTTTTGATTCTCCGCCCGCACCCCGAATCTCTGGATAAGTTCTGAGAAGCACCGTTTAGCATCACCACTGTCTGACCTGGCAGCAGCAAGAAGCTGATCGATACCTTCATCCGTGAGATCTTTAAATTCGGTGCCCATGGGATCAGATTTTGCCCCCCTGGGCCTGCCCCAGCAGCCTCTGGTCCTGATCCACCCTCTGCAGAGTCAGAGGCAGGAGAAGGGGGCTGGGATTGAGCAACACGTGCCTTGAACTGCTGCTCGCACAATTTCTGGTACTCCGCGGATTGCGCCGCTGCAGGAAGGTCTGCATGCCAGGCTTGTCCGTGACGTACTCCTCAGTGGTGACGAAGACAGGGGCCTCGGGCGGAACGACCTGCTGCATGGTGGACTGGAGCTCCAGCTTGGTGGCCTGGGGCCCCTCGCGCACGAGCTTGGCCTTGGCCTGCATGGCCTGCATGGCCTTGGTGGCCTCCTCGATGAGGCCCTGCTGCGTCGCGATGTCCTCCTCCAGGCGCGAGAGCTTGGCGCTGGACCTCTGCAGCTTGTGCCCCAACTCCGTGTGCCTAGACAGGGACGGCTTGAAGCTGTTGAATTCCTTTCTTGCATCAGCGAGCTCCTTCTCCATGACTCACGAATGACTGCCGGGAACTGTTCATCATTGTGGATTCCCTGGATGGTGGACTCCAAGGACTTGGTCTGGGCCAACAGCTGACGGCCTGCCTCATCAGTGGCAGCGGCTGCGTCAGGCACTCCTCCGTCGGCTGCATCTGGAGGAGTGGGGCCAGCAGCGTGTGTGACACGACCTCCACCTGGCCTGAGCTGCTTGGCGAAGAGTTCCATCTGCTTCTGCATGTGCGCCAGCTGGCGCGAGTCGGCAGAATCGCCAGGAGGGCCACGAGCCCAAGCACCACCAGGCGAGCGACTGGGCCCGCTGTGCGGCGCGTGCTGGAGCTCCGCTGCCTTCTTCTTTGCCTGCTCGATGACGCTCTGGGGCGCCTTCTTTCCACACAAGCACTTGATGCGGCTCGCGAAGTTGGAGTTGCGACCGCAAGACGGACATCCCCACATGGGCTGCTGCGGGCCTGGGAGGGCATCAGGATCTGATGCCGTGGACTGCTCCAGCAGGAGCTCAGAAAGCGTGGGGGTTGAGATCCCCCGAACTGAAAGAAAGACCGAACCGATGGCCCGCACTTGCGATTACCACTCCGAAGACGGCAAGTGCAAGCCCAAGGATCCCTTGGGCCGAAATGGCTGAGGAGGAGGAGGAGAGGACAACGGAGGAGGAGAGGAGAAGGGAGGAGGGGAGGAGGGGGTGAGGGGAGGGAGAGGAAAGAGCTGGAGGAGGAGGAGGTGGACCAGGAAGAGAAAGAGGATGCAGAGAGAAAGCAGAAGGGAGGTGAGAGGGGCACAAGCAAAGCGTAGAGGGGGCCGCGGAGGCAAGAAGGGAGGGTAGGAAGGAGGCAGGAAAAAGTAGAGGGGAGAAGGGGGCAGACAGGAAGAAGCAGAGAGGAAGAAGCAGAGGGGAGAACGTGGAGGGGAGAAGGAGGAACAGAAACATGAGAAACCATAAACAAAACAAAACAAAGGCAATCGGAATAACTGTAGGTGAACAGGAAGGCGGAGTGAAACGAGTCTAGGAAAGGAGAGGGAGAAGCGTGAGCGAGGGGAGAAGGAAGAGGGAAATTGTGAAGAATCAAAAAAGGGACTGTCGAAACTCCTTACGTGTAGTCCCACTGCCTCTTCCTGCCCTTCATCCTAGACCCTCCTCCCTACCATATCCCCGCAGCCTTCATCACTCGGTATTTCTTTCTTTCACCGGGCCTCCCTCCTCCTCCTCCTCCGCCACCTCCTCCTCCTCCTCCTACTCATCCCTCCTCCTCCTCCTCCTCCTCCTCCTCCTCCTGTTCCTTCTCCCTCCTATGTGTTATCTCCCTCCTGCCCCTTGTCCTCGTCCCTTGTCCCTCCCGCTCCCCACTGCCTCCGTCTCCTCGACCGACCCCGCCCCCTTGGCCCCCTCTTCGGACTGCCCCCGTGGCCCTCTCCTCCGTAAGGTGATGACGACACGACGACGGTGGAGACAGCGCTGGCGACGACCGGCATTGGTAGCCACGACGAGGATGTCGACGACGACGTCGACGTCGACACATCAACGACGACAACGACGACGACGACGACGACGACGACGACGACGACGACGGCGGCGGCGGCGGCGGCGGCGGCGTCGGCAGAGGCGGCGGCTGCGGCGGTGGCGGCATCGAAAACCACGACGCGAACGACAAAGATGACGACAAGGGCGAAGACGACGACGGCGAGTGCGACGGCGAGCGTCGGGGCGACGAGACCTGTACACATCCACCATTCGTGGGCCTCAAGATTGAGGGGCAACGACCGCAAATGTTGGAGTTCCTTGGGATCACGATTGACCAGGATACTTTCCACCGTTGTCACTCGCGAACACCCTCAGCCGAAACAGTCCCAAACTGCGCACCCACCTTTCTCCTGCTTCCAAGCCCGCTCCCCGACCTTGATGCCCCTCCTAGGTATCAACCAGATAGAACATCGGGTGCCCATATGGACCCAGATGGCCCTGCCATATCGGATCAGATGCAGTACCAGGCGCTGAATTCTTCGACGCGCTAGATCACATGCATCACCTCGAACCACATCGAACGCCAGGCTAACTCGTAACCCCAGTCGCCGCACAGCCCGAGGGAGCCCCGCAGAGCCCCGCAAAAAGCTACAGGAATACCATGTCGCCCCGATCGGTAGACACGCTATTCGCTAGGGCCAACACACAACCAGACTTTTAGGCGCACGCCCGCTCGACGTGGCCAGCGAGCGACCGCCGCCTTCAGCAGCATGAGCAACTCCAACTAAAAGGACGCCAATGCAAAAATCTATGTCAAACTTGACGTCCAAAATGCAAGTAAAGCCAACCAACATGCATACACATTATGAAACCCTCGAAAGCCTGACGGGCAAACAATGCAGCGGACGATTCTGGTTGCAATGCCAGACAACGTGGGCGCCAACATGAACACTTACACCTTATACGGTCAGCTCAGCCAGGAGCTACGCGCGACACTCCGAAAACGGCATGAACACACACACACACACGCAACTATTGCACTCGCGGTCGCAAATCCACGCGGGGCCATGCGCTGTGAACAAAACAGGCGCGTGCGGCGGGCACCCCGCGCGAACGCGGGTCACCCCGCATATACTCGGCATCCCCAGCTCTATAGAATCATACACACAATCGACACGGACTGTATAGGCTCGTATGCAGACTCGGCAAAGACCTTACATAATCCTAAACAGAGCCGGCGCGGACTGTACAGGGCCCTGCACAGATCCGACATGGCCCATATAGGACCCTATACACAGCCGACACGGACAGTAGAAAGTCGTCTACACATCCGATGCGGACTCGTAAACATCTCCGATCTGGACTGAGTAGGATCCTTGACAGAGCCGATACGGATTGTACGAGAATGCAGATCCGACATGGGATGTGTAGGATTCCATACTAGAGGGGTAAGGATTCTAAAGCAGCTATACCTAGCCTATATAGAACCTATCGTATCCTATACAAACCGATACGGAATTGATGATACGCCATAAGAAAATATTATACGCATTCGAAACGGACGGCATAAAACCCTGTTCAGACCCGATACGGAATGTAAGAGATCCTGTGTATATCTGGAACGGAATGCATAAGATCTTACAACCTGCCAGAGGCGCCCGTCTTTAGCAGGCGTCGGTGGCGCCAAAACATGTCTGGTGTATCGCATCAGGGTTGGACGTTAAGCAATGAACAATGGCTACGGGTGTGGTCACCACACCCTTTGGGGGGGCCCGCGGAAGGGCCCCAACGCACGGGCGCGGCGAGCATGCGGCCCCGTTGAAGCACCGCGCTACTGGGGCTGCCGAAGGGGGCTCGCGAGCGGCGGCCTGGCTGGCTGGCGGGGGCCTTCGTCCCATCAGGCTCCCGGCCAGCGGGCTCGCCGCTCGACAACACCCCCCTCAGGCGAGGGCTGGCGAGGACCGGCTGCGTGGGCGGCGCGCGAGGGGCAAGCCTGCGGGAGCGACTTGAAGCGCATCTGCACGCGGACCTCGCCGGGCGGCACGGCGCCAGCGACGCCCCATGCAGAAGAGGACTCCTGAGGGTCCGAGTAGATGGGGCCCGAGGATCGCGTCGCATCGCCGATGCATCGGCGACGTCGGCGATGCAGCGGCGACGTCCGCGTGAAGAAGATCGGGCACCACAGCGAGCCGCGTCGCCGAAGCATCGGCGATGCGTCGCGATCCTCCGAATCCATCTACTTCGACTCCATCTTGGAGGCCTATATGGGGTTCGGGTAGCGACAGGACCCAGGCTCGCGCCGCGTCCCTCAGAGGTGGTGCGCCCCCCTCTCGCGCCGCGTCCCCGCGAGGCCAACCTTGGCGCGCACCCTTCGCGCGTCTAAAAATGCATCACGGGGATGTCCCCTAGCTGGAGGCCTACCAAATGGGGTCCGAGTGGATTGGGTCGGAGGATCACGTGGCATCGCCGATGCATCGCCAATGCATCGCCGATGCATCGGCGACCTGGGCGATGCATCAACAACGTCGGCGTGGATAAAGCCGGGATCCACATTGAACCGCATCGCCGATACATCGGCGACACGGCGCGATCCCCCGACACCAATCTACTCGGGTACGATCTGGACGGCCAACATGTGCAGGAGAGCAAGGGTGCCGGCGAGGCCCATCGCAAGGGCGACCTCTGCCCAGGCCTCCGACGATTTCAATTCCAGCCTGTGTGTCTCGATCTCGGCCTCCTGGGGCCGTCGTCGGGCCCCGAGGCTACCGGCAGCGGCCTCGGGCCCCGGGGAAGGGGTCAAGACCTCTGGGGCTGGCCGCTGCTGCCGAGCGCCATCTGGGCGGGGGCCCCTCTCTGAAAGTATGCGTCTGCAGAAGCATCATGGATGAGGTCCGAGTAGATGGGGACGGAGAATCGCGCCGCATCGCCGATGCCTCGGCGATTCACCGGCGACGCATCGTCGATGTCGGCGATAAATCGGCGACGTCGGCGTGAAGCATATCGGGCACCACAGCGAGCCGCGTCGCCGATGCATCGGCGATGCGGCGCGATCCTCCGACCCCATCTACTCCGACCCCTTCTAGGAGGCCTGGAGCATGAGCACCGAACCTGGCATGCTGGACCGCATCCTGGGCCCAGGATCGGTGCATGCGGCCTCCTGGCTCGTCCAGGGAGGCGTGCGCACCGCATCCTGGGCCCAGAATCGGCCTGGCCGGGGTCGGTGCGAAGGCTTCGCGTCGCTCAGCCCTCCACTCTGAGGCAGCCCAGAGACACACAAAGAGGTAGACAATAGTGTAGTGTTCCAATACCCCCATACGTTCCAATAGTGTTTGGATGCTCGTCTTCCCCCCCACTTCCCATCCTGTCCTGTGTATCGACGATTGGTGGTATCTGCCACGTTTCCCTACGGACACGCTCCGTGCAGCGAGAATGATGCTGCTGATGATGATGGTGCTGATGATGATGATCATTATCATCAGCAGCATCAGCAGCAGATTCATCAGCATCATCACCACCACCACCACCATGGTCATCATCATCATCATCATCATCATCAGCATCAGCATCAGCATCAGCATCAGCATCAGCATCAGCATCATCATCATCATCATCAGCATCATCATCATCATCAGCATCATCATCATCATCATCATCAGTATCATCATTATCTTCATCATCAGCAGCATCGCCATCAACAGCATCAACTACATCATCATCATGATCATCATCATCAGCAGCATCAGCATCAGCAACAGCATCATCAGCATCATCATGATCAGCATCACCATTATCATCAGGGAAGCTAGTCGATGCCACGGGCCGCCCTCTCTCGGGCGTTCACGGAGGGAGGAGTCCAAGAGAGGGGCCCACTGATCATGGCCCGAGGCACGGGGGCGGCACAGAAGGGGTCCAGGGGGCGCTTCGACATCAGAGGAGGGGGCCATGACATCCCGGGGAGATCTCAGGACGGACAACGAATGCAACTAATTCGAACGCAACGCAAACAACTTTCCCCAGTCAGAGCTTGCCTCTGTAGGGGTCCTAGCGGATTAAAGGGTTAGGTGAGGTGCGTCGCCGATTTCGGTGGCCGGGCCCGGGTGCCTGGGTGCCAGGGTGCCCAGCGGTGCCCAGGTGCCCGGGTGGCCAGTGAGGTGCGTGGCCGATTTCGGTGACCGGGCCCGGGTGCCCCGGTGCCCAGGTGCCCGGGGGTGCCCAGGTGCCCGGGGGTGCCCAATAGCCCAATAGCCCAGTAGCCCTATAGCCCTATAGCCCTATAGTCCTATAGCCGTATAGCCCTATAGCCCTGTAGCCCTATAGCCTTATATCCCTATAGACCGAATAGCCTTATATCCCTATAGCCCTATAGCCCCATAGCCCATATAGCTCTATAGCCCCATAGCCCTATAGCCCCATGGCCCTATAGGTCACAGTCCTATAGCCCTATAGCCCCTTAGCCCGATAGCCCTATAGCCCTATAGCCCGATAGCCCTATAGCCCTATAGCCCGATAGCCCTATAGCCCTATAAGGGAGCAATTGGAATATTAAAAAAAACTGATTGGGGTTGTTCTCCGGTATCATATGCAATAGTTCTTCGGGCAATTCTGAAGTAGTTGATGAGACGGTTGGCCAATCTGCCAATTCGGTGACATGCTTTCGGCCCCGGCCAGGATATCCCCCCTAGTCATCAAGCCCTCTCTTGCCCGCCCCCGATCGTCGCCGTGTCGTCGCAGGCATCCGCGCCGGAGAGGGCTTGCCGAGTTCTGCCGTCGCTGAAGCTTCCACGATTGTCTCGACCTGTCTAAACGGGTGCCTCTAGAATTGCTTCGGTTTATCTGGGCTTAGATTGTGTCGAACTATCTCGATTACCCCGGGTCATCTGGCTCTGCCCCCACACGTCGGTTGGAGAAGAGCCATCAAGCGCTTGGGACAGAAGGAGTGGGAGGAGGGAGAACTAGGAGGCTCCACTCTCATCCCCCTCCCTCATCCCTCTTTATATATTCCTCCTCCTCCTCCTCCTCATCATCATCATCAGCATCAGCGCATCATCATCAGCATCAGCATCACCATCATCAGCATCATCATCATCGTCACAATCATCATAGTTGTATTCGTCGTCATCGCCATCATCGCCAATCCAGATTCAGTATTTTAGATATTCGACGAGCCAGCAGTCGTGTCCGCGCCAACGAGTGTTTGCCAAACTGCAGCCCTTCGGCTTGTGGAGTACTATGCGCTGGGGGTTGCCAAGAGCTCAAGTGATGTTGGCGGAGAGCAGCTACGGTAAACTCGTGTCGTGACGGCCGGTGCGTTGGCTTCTGACACGGAGTAGATCGCTCAACCTTGAACAACCGACGTCTTCTCGATCGCGAGATCGTTCTATATTGGCCGATTCTGGGCCGATTGCATCGTTCAATCTTGAACGCCCGCGGCGGGGTCGCCGCCGAGTCAACACGACACGAAACTGCCGTAGGTACAAGTACTTTCGGCTATCCCACGCACCACAGACTCAGAGGAAGGACAAACCACAGGAGCAGAAACCGTCGGAGGTCCGCGCGGATTGGAACGGCGCTTTGGAACCCCCTCCCTTGAGCGCCGGCGCTGCTAAGAAGTCCGACGCGTAGCCTGGAAATCTGTGCGGACCTCCGAGCATCTTGTGCAGCATGTGCGTCTTCGAGGAAGATTACCACCGTCGTCTTCCTCCCGATCCTGATCCTCGCCGCCTTCGTCCAAGAGAGCGCTGGCCTCCCATACCCGCTTCTTCCCGCAGAAGTGCCAGCTGTACGGGTAGTTGCCGGACGCCTCGGGCCAAGGGCCACCGGGGGGGAAGATCGGCGCGCGTCCCGCCGCCCCCTATCTGCCTGGATGTCGGATGCTCGCGGATCGGGTGCGCCGAGAGGGGGGGGCCTGGAAGAGGGGGGTGAGCGCACCGTGGCCCGAGGCATGTGCCCGGAGGAAGGGGAGGGCGGGGAGCGCTTCGAGAGAAGAAGATGTGGCTGAGAAACCTGGGAGATCCCGTGGCCGCGGCCATGACATCCACGCACCCCTAGTCAGCTAGTGCTTCCCCTCTTTCTTGGACGCACCCGATCTGCGGTAAGGAGGGGGCGAAGGAACGAGGAGGACAGTCGCCACGAAGGCAAGTGAATCAAAGTGAAACAAAATCATGATGTGTCTCTCGACGCCTTCGGCCACCCGGCACACCCCCCTCTCGCTTCTCACTCCACTGATGAAGTTGTCCGAAAGATCTCCCGCCCCCTCATCGTGCTGTTTGTTACACACACACACACACACAGGTTGAAAACAGTTGTTTCTCATGGCTTGTTGCAATCCAGTTGTTTCCAATGCTCCAACACGACGCGTTGCTCCCGTCGTTCAGAATGGCAGTATCGCCCCAGCGCGAGCTACATTTCTGAATCCGAATCTTGCTTCATTGTGGTCCCCCCATCATTTCCCCTCCTCCGCCTTCCCTTGGTCCTCCTGTTCCTCCCGCTACTTCCACTCCAGTTCCTGCTGCTGCTGCTGCTGTTCGTCTCGCCCCAGCGCGGATCACATTTCCGCATCCATTTTTCATCTTTGTCGCCCCTCTCATTGTCCCTCCTCCGCCTTCCACTGGGCCTCCTTTCCCTCCCGATCTTTCCGCCTTACTTCCTCCTGCTGCTGTTCGTCCTCATCATTGTTCTCCCGCTCATCCTCCTCCTCATCCGCCACCTCCTCTTCCTCCTCCTGTGCACGCAGCTCCCCCTTTTCCGATTGCGCATAACACGAAGTGGTCTTTCTGTGTGAGTCGCAGGTCGACCATGACACGCGTCCGCGGTTAGAGAAAACTCAGCAGCGCCATGGTAAGGGACGGGAGGAGGGGTAAGACGCCAGATAGGGCGCGAGCGCACAAAGCTTGCTCTTCCCACCTCTCCTCCTCCTCCTGCTCCTCCTCCACCTCCTGCTCCTCCTCCTCCTGAGCCTCCTCCTTCTCCTACTGCCTCTCCTCCTCCTCCTTCTCCTCCTCCTCTTTCTCCTCCTCCCGCCCTCAGTCTCCCCTCCCCCACGGGATCGAAGAAGGAGAGATGTCGACAACGACAAAGGAAAGGAGGGGGAGGAAAACGACCGTCCTCCCGCGCCGGGGCGTGCGTCGGCCGGTGCATGGCGATGCCCTTCAGGGAGGCCAGCTCGTTCTCGGGCGCGTGCATCGTCGTCGTCATCGTCCCCTCTTCTCCTCCTCCTCCTCCTCCTCCTCCTCCTCCTCCTCCTCCTCCTCCTGCGACTCCTTCTCCAACTCGCCCCCTCCTCCCCCTCCCCCTCCCCCTCCCCCTCCTTCTGCTCATCATCCCACTCCGCCCTCCCCCTCCCCCTCCTCATCCCCCTTCCCCTCCTCCTGGTTGTCCCCCCATCCTTCTCCTCAATCATTTTCCTTACTGAGAATTCCTCTCTGTCGCATCCTCAGATGTGGCCGTATGGCATGTAGGATTTTTCGACTGCGATACGTTGCTACTTACGAACCTCAAGTCGAAGTGTTGCTACCGTTTCAGGGATGGAGGGGCGGATTTCACAGTGGTGTTCTCGCCCTAGCGCCGAACACATTTGTCCCATTATATCGTAGCAATTACAAGTATGGAAGGGGGTGATTCTTAAAATGCAGCTCTTGCCTTAGCGCCGAACGCATGGGCGCTAAAGGCTTGCAACAGTTACACCAAAATGGGATCTCGCCTTATCGCCGCCGCATTCGTCTTACCAGTTCAATTTCAAAACAGGGCTCTCTTGAATAGCAGCCCCTATCGGATGCTGGTCTTGTAAGGAGGGTCTAGTATACTGAATAGGAAGGCCTGTATGCGATTCATGAGGAGGTGAGTTGGGACGGGGTTGTTGCAGCGTCGTTGATGCCTTGGGTCTAGCCTGGCATCTAGTCCTCTTCCTCCTCCTCCTCCTTCTCTCTACGGCAGCGAGCCAACAGCGGTGCTAACGAATAAGATAAAACGTTAAACTCACAAAGGGAACGACTACACAACACGAGAAATAGTTACGTGAAGTTCACGGGAAGGAGCGATTGAACAACGTACTTCTTCTGCCGCGGAGGACATAATTTGGAGGAAGCGATCGAAAGCTCTCAAGAACGACGACGACGACGATGACGACAACAACGACGACGTCGCCAAAAAGCAAAGCCAAAACCCAATATATGAATCACGGCCCTGGGCGCTGCTGCGTGACTCGTGGCGGCCACCCCCCCCTGGGCGTCGCCTAAGCGTCACCCTACATTACCGTTCACGTCGAGATTCGACACCGAGTCGTGGACGGACCCCCACGGTGGGAGAGCCCGAGTCGGGGGGGCCATGCATCCTGCCCTGGGCGCATCATCCCATCATGTTGCCCCTGAACTTGTCATCGCTCAACCCCAACCCTTGCAGGCTGGCGCGAGAGGCAGCAGACTCGCAGAGGCACGAGAGGGAGCAGGCGGAGGGCGAGGAGGACGATGAGAGAAATTCGGCGGTTGCGTGAAAAGATGTGGGTGGGCACTGGAGCATGGAGACCTACGCATAGCAAGGGATCCAAGGTTCAGCTTGCGATGTCTGAGGCACCTCGCCGGTAGGGCCCCAAGACCCACATCTTTGAACCACCCCGACGAGGAGGGCAGCCCGCACTCCTTGCCCAAATTGCCCAGCGACCAGGGAACTCCAGCACCTTGAAAGCACCAGGATGCACACGCTCGCAGTTTTCGGTATCCGGTGGGCTGGTTCCGGGCCCTGGGTGGAAGCGGCGGGGGGTCTGCGCTGGAGGGGCCCCGAGAGGGGACGGGAGGAGAGGGACGAACATTCAGGATCAGTCGGCATCGAATTGGGAGATCGGGTCGGATCGGAAAGTGCGTCGGATCGGAGGGCACTTGCACTGAGTCGGGACCGCATACAGTCGCCCGCGCCAGGATGCACAATGGCTCCATGCAAGCATCGGACCACATCAGCTCGTTGGAACGATGGAACCGACTCGGGTCGGGCCGGCTGAAACCGATGTCGAATCGGATCGATCGGATGGAAATGGACCCTGCGGAGGAGGATAATTTAACCGATCTGATGGTTCTGTTGAGCTGCCTGCTCAGCGTTCGCTGGCCATGTGAAGATATTGGAAACGACGGACGCTAAAACATGATAATGCACGTGCCCAGCAAGCCAGAGGCTTGCACCCGCATGCGTCGAGCAGCATTTCACGATTGCGGTCCAGAAAACGTCACACACACTACCCACCAACTTCAGCACAGCGGGGGAGGAAGGCCAGGCGGTCCTCGAACGAGATCGGGTGGTCCATGTTCGCCTGGAATACACCTCGCGCACGCGGACCGTGCGCTACGTGCGCGTCTAGTGCCAATGCCAAATACGCTCCCTCTCACGGCAGGCTCATGCCGTGAACTCTCGACTTTGGCTCTGGTTCCTGACGCCAAGTGGATCGTGCAGTGGGCGGCGAAGCAACATCAATGACACGCCGCCGTGGGGAAGATTCCCCACTTGGCGGCGCGCACCAGGGGGAAGAGGGAGAGGGGAGGGCTTCTTAGAAGGAGGCTGCTTCTTAGAAGGCGCCGGCCTTACATCTATAGATAAGGCCCGCGCCTTCTAAGAAGTCCTCCCCCCGCCCCCCACCCCCCTCTCCGCGTGGCTGACCCACCTCGGCATGTCATGGATACTGTTCCGCAGCTTTGCCATAGCGCGGATTGGTCGACATCGGCCGGCCACTGGCGAGGCTCGAGCTCGAACGCCCGCGCGGGGGTCGCCGCCAGGTCGACACGGCGAGAGCCGAACCTGCCGCCACTGCCCTGCCACTGCCGCACCTGCCGCACCGCGGGGGCTTCCCAGACGGCAGGCGGCTTCTCAGGCGAGCCTGGGGGCCTCTACAGTCATCGGCCTGACTTAAGGAACGATAAATAAGAAACGAAGACCCATTTTCCAAGGAGTAACACAGAAGGAACGATAAATGATACTCAGGAACGACCGAGCCGAGCCCCTATTGAAAATTGTTCCTTATTCAAGCCGCTCACTGTTAGCAGGCTTGAAGGCCGGGAGATAGAGCGAACGAACGGCCACCGCTGCGGACAAGCGTCTGGGCCTGACTTAGGCCAGGTGGGTGAGGCCGCGGCCTCTGGTGAGTGTTTTTATTCGGCGTTTCGACATCAGGCGGAAGGGGGGGGGAAGTGGGGGGGGTCTGGCTCGGGACCTCTGCTTAGTGCGACTGTTTGCAGCACTGGGTCCTAGAGGGGAGACTCCACCTGCTCTGAACAGGCGCCACAAAAACAGCCAAGATCTACTCCATGGGGGGGGAGGGGGGGGGAGGGGGGCCCGCGCCGATCGGCAAAACAATGAATAAAAAAACGATCACCTGGATCCTGGTGTGCGAGGACATGTCTGGACATTCTTGGTCCGCGGACGCTTGACTCAAGCAGCGTTCCAGCGACGGAGAAGCACTTCCAAGGAAAGTGGTGGCACTAGGGGCGCGGGGGGGGAAACTGAGGCACCAATGGCGCGGAGGGAAAGGGAGGACAATGGAGCGCTTCCGGCGGGAGGCGAGGGGGGCGCAGGGAGAACCGCTTTCGCAAGCCGCCGCCCTCGCGCCTCCCTCCCGTGGGCACTGCCCGCCCCGTCTGGCAGACTATGTAGGGCGCCTCGGGGGTGGGAGTCGGAGCAGATGCGGTCGGAGGACCGCGCCGCATCGCCGAGGCATCGGCGATGCATCGAGGATGCATCGGCGACGTCGGCGATGTGTCGGCGACGTCGGCATGGAGAAAATCGGGCTCCACATCGAGCAAGTCGGCGATGCGTTCGAGTTGCGGCGCGATGCTCCGACCCCACTGGGAGGCCTGTCTGTACACCCCAGCTCCTCTCGTCCATCTGCACCCGTGGTATGAGGGTGATGCCGACGCCACCAGAGGGAAGCGACGCCCGGCGACGTCTCTCCGAGAGAGCCCCGCCCTCCACAAACACAAAAATTGGACGGGGCGGTCAACACCACCGCCTCCCGATAATAAAACGGAATTCCGAGGAACGGCGCCAAGCAAACTTCACTCCCGAAGTAGCGGTGGCCACCATCATGTCCGGAGGGAATAAAGAACAAACAACAACAAAAACGATCGGGCATCAGGTGCCCCACCTTCCCCTGCCGATAGAGCGGGAGGAAGAAGTGGCCGCGGGAAGGCGGAGGACAACAAGTCCCACCCGCCGAGCGGCTCACAGCCGCGCAGCTCGTAACACTGCACGGCCCAGCCCAGGATGTCGGAGGGCACCGACCAGATCAAGACGAAGGCAAGACAATGACAACTGCGGATGAGGAGAGACAAGGAATCCCTGGGAACAAGCAGCTCTGGAGAGCCTGTCGGGCGCCGAAGCCGCGCCAGAGCGCTCCAGAACGCTCTGAGAATGTATACTCATCCTGTCGGGGGCGACGATGGGGGCGAATAGCCGAGGGGAGAACAATACATGCATCCAGGGGCGCCGATGGTCCATGCCTTGGGCGAGGCTCCTGGGCGAAGACGTGTAATGCCCGCCCATGGGCTATTCGCCACTATCGTCGCCCCCGATCCTGTAGGCCTGCCTGCCAGGATGCTGTCCGCAACCGGCGGCGGCTGCTGCGAAGACATGACGTTCGCCGCCGAGCTGGCCAGATCCCCAGCAGGTTCACAGGCCGTGTGAAAAGGCATGCGGGGAGCGGGTCCTGCGGGCACACCGGAGGAGGAGGGGCCAGGGAGAGGGGCACCGCATCACGACCCGAGGAACGTGCGCGGACGAGGCGGGGCCGAGGGGTGCATCGACAGGGGAGGAGGCATGACATCTGGCAGATTTCGGGGCCCTGGCCCTGATGCCCACCGCACCCCAGTCCGCGCCCCCGCTCGTCGGCGCACCCAGTGGATCCTGAACCGAGCGGCTTCCACAGGATCGGGTGCAGGCGAGCACGGACTACGGATCCGTGGATCTGGCGCGTGGGCGCGTGATCGACGGATCGGGGCGGGTACACCCCAAAACATGAGGCCAGTACCACCCGAGCTGGTGACGGATCGCACCGATTCTGCATGGAAACGCGACCCGCCAGTAATGCACGCGCCTTGCACCCCTCGGGGAGGTCCTGGGGGGCGACTCCGAGGAGGGGAAAACCCTGAGCCCGTCCTCCCCTCTGGAGACACCAAAAACATCGAGCACAAACAAAACCTCGAAAATGTTCCTTCTCCGCTCTCGTCGCCGCCCACTTCCTCGTCAAAGCCGCCGCAGAAGAAAACACCGCAGTCGTCGTCGTCGTCGTCGTCGTCGGCGTCGTCGTCGTCGTCGTCGTCGTCGTCGTCGTCGCCGGCGGCAGTGTCGTCATCTTCGTCTTCCTCGTCATCGTCGTGGAAAGGCCGCTGGCCTGAGCTGCCACGCCACGGGGCGGGGGTCCCCGCCTGTGGACGGCACGAAACTCCACCTGATGGGCTCCGACTCCGGCGTGCCTCGGCGGTCTGGGTTCCCACGGCGGCGGCGGCGGCCGGCGCACTGGCAGCACGGACGACGGCGACGGCGACGAAGGCGACGACGGCAACGGCGGCGAGAGCGGCGACGGCGGCGCTGGCAGCACCGACGACGACACGACGACGACGACGACGCCGACGACGACGACGACGACGACGACGACGACGACGACGACGACGACGACAACGACGACGACGACGACGACGGCGGCGGCGGCGGCGGCGGCGGCGACGGCGGCGCAGGTCACGACAGGGCTTAGGGTCGGCTCTGGGGTCCCCTCTCGGCCTGCGGCGGCCTCTTGGGGGGGCCGTCAGAGGGGCCTCCAGAGGCGTGCCTGCTGGCCTAGGAGGCCCAGGTCACACGACCTCGTCCTCGTCCTCGTCCTCGTCGTCGTCGTCGCGCCGCGCTGCTACCCGGTCGTCTGAGGGGGAACGACAAGGGGGGTCCAGCTCAGGGGTGGGGGAAAACAAGCAACGATTCGGATCGGCGGAACGTGGCCGAATGATCGGCGATAGGCACCCGATAACAAAACCGAACGTTCCTTGGTGCGGTGAGCGAGAAAGCCCCGGCCTGTTTTCCAGTTGGGTTAGAAATTTGGGTTTCTTCGCTCGACGTACGCGCATGCATGTCGTACAGAGGAACCGAGCCAAGCCTCATCAGAAGTGCTTTGAAGCCTGGACACATCCAAAAATAATGAGGGACATTTAAACCGTGAGACCCCTGGGGCCGTCCAGCGCTCAGGTGCATGACCATAAGACATAAGACAAGATGGGAATGCAAGAGACTTCCATGGTATGGGGAGGAAGGGAGATCATGGCCTCAAGTCCACTCCTCCATTGCTTCCCTCGCTCGAATTGGTCGCGCGTGGTCACTCCAAAGGCGTTGCTGAAACCCTCTCTTCCTCCTCCTCCTCCTTCTCCTCCTCCTCCTCCTCCTCCTCCTCCTCCTCCTCCTCCTCCTCCTCCTCCTCCTCCATGCTCTCCTCTAACCCCCTCCTGCTCCCCCTCCTCATCCGATTCCCCGTCCTCCGTGTCCTCTCCTTCACCCCCTCCTCCCCTCCCTCCTCTCCCACGCATCCTCCCCCCTAAACCTTCCGCCACCGTCTTCCTCCCAACACAACTCCCCCAAACCCCTCCGCACACACATCCCTCTACTACTTAAGCGCTCGTGGAACTTAAGCGCTCGTAGATCCGAGAAATCCGCGCGGACCTCCGAAAATTGGATGTGTATGTGTGCAGTCTGTGTTTCGGTGCATCCGTCCTCTCATCCTCGCCGCTTCCTCCGCCCTCCCCTCCACCTCACCTGAGCTGCCTCCCTGCCTCCCTCGCTCAACCCACCACTCCAACCCCTCCCCCCCCAAACACACACACACACACACAGAAACACACACACACACACTTCCTCTCCTCCCTGGAAGCAGGAAGGGCCGAGGGATGAAAAAAGGGTGGAAAGAACGGGAGGAAAGGCTGGAAAAAAGAGAAAGGAGGACGTTGACTCGGCTTCGCTCTGCGCAGCCGGACCAGGAAGCTGGCCGTGGGAACGGGAGGCGGCGGTCGAGGGAGGGAGGACAAAAAGGATAGAGGAAACGAGGGTAGGGGGGCGAGCGAGCGAGCGAGGGAGGAAGGTAGGTTTGGGGCGAAGAATGAAGGAGGAAAGGAGGAAGGGAGGGACACGGAGCGAGGGAGAAATGGGAGGGATGACAAAAGAAAGGGGGAGGGAGGGGAACTGCCGTGTCATGAGCCCTACAGGGAATGCGACACGCCGCGAACCACTTGTTCATCCCCTGTTCCTCATATTGTTTCCACTCCTCGACCACCTCCCGCTCCTGATCTTCACGCTTCAATATGGATTAATCATCGTTTTCTTGTTCCCCCTCCTCCTCCTCTTCACCCTGCCCCTCCCATGCTTGTTGTGTTCCTTACCCTCGTTATGATAATCGCCCACCCCGGGACTGCTCCCCATCATAACCATCATCAGCAGCAGGGTACCCATAATGATATGGGAAATGAACATACAAACGGAGGCACGAATACTAATGATAATCGGCATCATCACCACCCGACACATTACCATCAGCAGCAACAGCCCCATCGTCAGCATAATCATCATCACCCTGATCATCATAGTCGCCGTCATAATAATCACCACCGTCAATACCATGTGAATCATATTGTATAAATCAGCCACCACCACAAGCCCGCCATCATCACCACCAGCATGAGAAGCATCAGCATAACCAATATCACAATCATCATGCGCATCGCCATCATCATCAGCATGGTCATCGTTACACCTGCCATCGCCACCAACATCAATATCATCAACACCATATTCAACAACATTGCACGTGTGGACACCATCGGATTCATAATCACCGTCATCGCTCTCAACACCGTCACAATCATCATCGCCATCACCATCTGCATGGGCATCGTCGCCATCACCATCATAATCGCCATCGCCAACAACATTCACATCAGCAACATCATCACCACCAACCGCCACAAGTACCACCATCAAAATCGACATCATCCCCGTCGCCATCGCCATCGCCATGGCCATCGCCATTTTCGCGATCGTCATCATCATAGACCCCTGGCAACCCGTAGCGGGAGACTCTGCCTACGAGAATGGGCCCCTCGGAAACACAAGGTGCAAATGGGGCACCACTGAGAGGCTTTCCACACAAAGCTGGGCCACAAGGGCTTTATTGGTTTAGTCTCTGGCACTGCTGGCAGCATTATGATCGCAAGCGGCGTGCACCAGCGCCCGGTGCAAACGCTGCCCAAACAACTCGCATACTTCTGAGGCGAGACCGTTCCGCTCGCCATGCGGACAATGAAAATACAAAGGGGGCGGGTGGGAGCCAGGGGCAATTCAAGCCGAGGCAAGTCGCGCGCGAACTAATTGTAACTACCAACTCGTAGCGGAGTAGTCTTCCTGCGACAGTTGGCCCCGCGGAGACGCAGGGCGCAGATGGGGCGCCGCTGAGAGGCCATCAAAACCAAGCTGGACCAGCGGGGCATGTCTTCTTCGGTCCTGGGCACCGCCGGCAGCCGCGTTGTCTCAAGCGGTACGCATCAGCGCCCGACGTCGGCGTTGCTTAAACAAAACCACAGGATTCTGAAGCGACGTAACCCTGACCCTTGCGCGCAAACAGTTCTACCTTGGAGGAAAGCGGGCGGCGGTGGGACTTTTTTGGCAAAGCAGCGCCCCCCCCCCCCCCCCCCACAAGAGGCCGCAACGATTTCAACATGGTAAACATTTCCAACGCGTTGCTTTCCTCAACCTGGACCGCGGGGAAGCATCATGGAACGCCCGCGCGTCATCGAATGGCCGCGCGCCGCCTGTCCCTGCCATTGGATCGCGCCACGCGTGCCGCGGAGGCGCGACCCGCGCGGCCCCCGAACTAGTCCGTCACGCGACCGCCGTGGAACTCATCACCGCGAAGGCGCTTCGTTCCGCGGTCGTTGGGCATAGCGCCCGCGCGGACCTCGAAGCGCGCAGCCGTCGAAGTGCAAACGGAATCGCCGCCCGCGCGCGGCCCGCGAAGCGCCGCGCGCTGCCCGGGCCGCGCGGCCGATGACTTGCGCGGGAGATGCACATTCCAAGCTGGTGCACGATGGGACGCGCCGGCGCGGGGAGGCCCAACATGAAGAAGAAACGCTCGAGCGCGAGCGCTGCATGCGGGGCGCCCGAGGCGGCTGGATCTCGCGCCCGCGCCAGTCGGGCAAACCCCGCCCCTGGGGGGTAGCGCTCGCGGAGCCAACCCGTCGCGGGCGCGGTGGCCGCAGGCGCAAACTCTGCCGCAACCGCAGTGAGGGCCCGCCGGCGCTCGCGGCGGAGAAAAAGGGCCCGGCGGCAAAAACCGGCTTCGAAGCCTCAGCGGCCGCGGGCGCGGCGGCGCAATCGCGAACCCGCCGCGCGAGGCAGCGCGGCCCGCCGCGAGGGCATCCTCTCCAAACGAGCGGGGGGCCCTGGGGGAGACCCTGGCCCCCACCCTGACCCCCCCGCCGCCTTTCCGCAGCGCCCGCCCCCCCCCCCCGTTCGGCCACGACTCCGGGCACTTTGTGGCCCCAACATCTGCCCGCTTTTTGGGTCTCCCTTCCGCTTGGGCGCACTTGTTTAACAGCGAATTCTTCACAATTAAATCCATGAAGAAAAAACTCGTTAAAAATCCGCGGGCGGTTTCGCGGGGCCTGGCAAGGATGCGCGGAATCTAAAGTCGCGGGCAAAATTGCCTCCGAAATCGCGGGCAAACTCGTGTCCGAAATCGCGGGCGAAGTCGCAGGCGAAATCGCGGGCGCAGAATCGCGGGCTTGCCCGTTGCGCCAGCGCGCCGAGCAGGCGTGCCCACTCAGCACCGGCGACGGCAAGGAGAGGAGAAGAGAAGAGGGAGCTGCAGCAGCAGCAGGAGAGCCAGCAGCAGCAGCGGGCAGAGGAAGCAGCAGCAGCAAAAGAGGAAGAGAAAAAGAGTCGTCGACATTCGCCCGCCAGATCGTCGCGCGCCTCACAACGCAATGGAGATGATTCTCCGGGGAAACTCGCCGGCCCCACGGGCCGGAGGTGCGCGGAGATCTCCGGCGACTGCCCCGCACTATTTTTACATCGCGCACGCGGGGGCGGCCCCGGCACCCGGGCGCAAAGTGCCCCGGCCAGGTCGGGCCAGAGATGGCCCCCCTCCTGGGCGCGACTTCCAGGCGCCCCAAAGCGACCCAGAAGTGCCCCGAGACGCGCCCAAGACGGTCCAGGAGGGCTCTGAATCGTCGATCGATCGGTCCTCGACAACCACGATGGCTTCCAGATGGCCCGCGGCGCGCACAAGGCCCCCGAAGAGGCCACCGCGAGCTGAAACGATACCCGAAAACGCGGTTCTGAGTGCAGAAGAAAATAGGTAGCAAAGAGATGAGGCGGAAACAGACCCGGGGCGACGCCGCTCAAATGACGCGCGGAGCCCAGACTGCGCGCCAGCCGCGCGCCG